ATTATGCTAGTTATCTGCTAGAACATCTCCTAAACACTGCCAAGTCAGTGATTTCACTTGGTGCCCTCTAAGCAACCAATAATTTTTTTTTTTCTCCGATCATTAAAAAGTTGTGAGGAAGAGTTGACTCGTGGTTGCATTGGGGCAAGTTACTCTAAATGAATCGAATCGGTAAAAATTAAAAACATTAAAAGTGAATTTTTATCAACTTTTAGGGTCAGCAAAATAATATTTTACAAAATTTAAAAATAATTTTAAATAATTAATTTAAATTTATTTAAATTTAAAAAAAAATGTTTTTGAAACCAAATTTATGGAAACCCAGAAATACTCAAAAATAAATATTTTCGCCGATTCGTCACTAGCACCACCTCTTAACATTAAAGCACGATTCTTTAACAGCACAAGGTCTTTTACATGCTGTCAGTGATTTCACGTTTATCTGCTACCTTTACCTTTGGGCTGATCTACTTGGGGTTAATCTTAAACAGACTAAAGGCTTTACTCTGTGCAAAGAGGCCTTAAATTTTTTTCTGCACGAGAAACGCTTTCACTTTGTGGAGCATGCTATTGAAAATATACTTTTAAAATCAGACCCATATGGAGTTTCAGTAGAGAGAACAGAAAGGTTTAAGAATAGAATGAAAGGAGAACAATTAATAGATGTTGGACTCTCTCTGTGAGAAGAAAAGAGAAGGGAGATGCGGGTGTGCATTGCTCGCTTTCATTCTGAACTCCATATCAAATCATCAGTGATCAAGGAAACAACACATATGTTTGGGGCTGTTCAACTCAAGAGTCAACTATCAGAAAGTGAAGAGGAGTTATTGGCGTCCGTTCCAAAATGAACCTCTTTCTATGATGAGTTATCAGAGGAAGAACTTTCAAAAGAAAAACCTAGGCTTAGAAAACAATAAAGGCAGCCAATATTGAATTTCACAAATTCAAGTACTGTCAGTCATCATCATCGTCGCATGTCGTCCCGTCTGGGGCATAGGCCACAAACAAAGGCTCTCCAGGCATCCCGGTCTTGGGCAAGTCTCTCCGGCTGTCTACAGTTGTACCCACTCTTTTTGGTGTCTGCCTGCAGTTCCCTTCACCAAGACCTCTTTTTCCTTGCCCTGGGGGTTCTAAGTGAGGGCTTTTCTCGTGATACTGACTTGATGTGGGCTTTCTTAAATACATTTACTTCCTGACCTGTAATTAATTTGTTTTTGTTCTTGTCATTGTTAAACTCTGGACTTATTTTAACTTATTTTAGCAATAACAAATCCATCTTGGAAGTCGTGTGTGGGGGGGGGGTGTGACACCCTGAGTTTATCGCATCGGGTGACACCGACCCTACGAAAAAATCCAACACTTTGTGGTGATCGACACTGGGTTTCCTAAAATGATTGATGTTGGCTTTTTTAAATACATTTACTTCCTGACCTGTAATTAATTTGTTTTTGTTTTTGTCATTGTTAAACTCTGGACTTATTTTAACTTATTTTAGCAATAACAAATCCATCTTGGAAGTCGTGTGTGGGGGGGGGGGGTGACACCCTGAGTTTATCGCATCGGGTGACACCGACCCTACGAAAAAATCCAACACTTTGTGGTGATCGACACTGGGTTTCCTAAAATGGTTTTTAACTTGGTCTATCAGGTTTATCACAGTACCAAGTCCGACATTCCTAATATAGTCATGAATAATTTTTGTGTGTGACTATTTATAGCTCTTAATATAACAAGATTTTATTAAAGTAAATTAAAAGTTGAAGTTTTCAAATAAAATGTAAACGAATTGTCACGTGGTGCGGAATTTGAAAACTCATCACAAATTTTATAGTGCAAGCGACTTTTCAGTGTTGTTTTTGGTAATTAGAGGTTCCTAATTTTGGCAAAAGCTACAACTACAAGAATACGTTAAAATTTATTACTTTATTCCACATAAGGCACCGCATTAAAGCTGTTAGTTAGAGTTAGACATTCATAATTTTTGTCTTTTTTGCTCCTTGAAATATCTTATTTCATAATTGTTTCCTTTCCATTGGGCATTGTTGTTCGAGTTTGATGCATAAGAATAATAAGAATAAAATCAATAAGTAAAGTTATACTTTACAAGTATAAAGTATAAATTATAAAGAGTAATGAGTAAGAAGTAAGAGGCAAGCTCATGAAATTATTGACCGGGACTAGAAAACTAGAACTGAATTAAAATTTAAAATTAATCGATTTACGCAACACATACTAAGATACTAGTCAAACTGATAACTCATATGAATGTATTTAATATTAATTATGATCACTACTGAATGAGAAGTAATGGATCTTGTCTAGACCCAAGCTTTCTTTCTGGCTAAGGCCTGTAACTAGTAATTCAATTGTCAATTGTAAAAATTAAATAATATAAATATTAAAGGGCAAATCATACGGAAGTTGAAAGACCTGAACAAAAAATAATATCATAATTTATAGACAGCCTGGTTTATGGCTTTGTACTTTGTTAATATAGCACTATTGGGAATGGGTGTTGTCATTTTAAAAAAATCAAATGTCTTGCCTTTTAAATTGACAGAAATGGCTTTAGAAAGTACAACTTCCACTGGACAATCTTCAACACCATGGCGCAGAGCCTTGAGAACGTCTATAGCTGCACTTCTTGTGGAGGCAGGATATCAATGTGCCGAAAACTTAGCACTGGAGACTCTTATTGAAATGACTCAAGCATGTAAGAAATTAATATTACTATACGATCCACTGGAGTTGCCACATTATCATTATTCGAGTTATCATTTTACCCTGTTACCCCATCTGATATCACGAGCCAACATGCACCCCCTCTACTTTCTCCCTTAAAGGAAAAGCCTAACCCAAGCTGCATCCACTCTTGTCCCTCTCCCATTTTATACCATTACATGCTTTCCCAATATTGCAATTTACAAAATGTATTTTTATAGCTAATCTTCTATTTAGGGAATTCTTATTCTCCGTAACATATTAAAAATATATATATTAATAGAAAATAAACAGCAAAAGCTTATTTTATTGTGATGGTCCCTATAACAATAGGGAAAAAAAAAATCACTGTATTTATATTATATTTGGTTTTTGAAGTCTGAAATTCTGGAATAGTTATAAAATAATAATTAATTCTAGCAAAATAATTATTATAAATACTTAATAAAATAAACTTCAAATAATCCAGTTATTATTTATTTTAAGTTATTTCAATAAACTGTAATTCTTAGCCACATATTTAACATAATTTAGTGTATTAAAACATTAATTTAAATATATATAAAATTTATGTGGAATTTCATAAACCTTAAAATGATATTTTAAGATTATTATGTACATAATATTCCTATAGATATCTCAGAGGCTGGTCGAACTTCAAGTGGTTATGCTGAACTTGCTGGCCGCACACATGTTATGCCAAGTGATGTCGTTTTAGCTCTTGTTGAGATGGGTAAAACATTTAAAATTTAAAGAGTATTTGTGAAATTAGGTCAAATTTATAGTTTTATTTTACTCACTTCAGAATTAAAAAGAAAGAATTAAAACAAATTGATTTAATTATTGTAAAAAATTAATCTGGGCCAAAACAAAAGAGTAAAATGTGCAGTTACATTCTATTTAAAACTATAAAAAAAATTTTGTATTCAGCACTAAATTGACTTTTTGTTTTGTTAATCATCTATCGTTTAATGAGACTTAACAAGATCTCCAATGTTTTTTACAGGTTTAGATTTCACTGCTATTCCAACACACGCAAAGCGAGAAAATAAAACAGTCTTTTTACCTCGTAAGTAATTAAGGAAGTAAGCTTCTTCTTTCATTTATTTAGTCCTAGTAGGCTGAGGGGTGCTTGAGGCCAAGTTAACTCAAACCTCTGTCTATTGGACTGAGCCTCTTTTAAAGAGGGAACATTTTCTTAAAGAAACTGTTGGGGAAAAGTTTCTTCTTGTATCCATTGATTTACATTATGATTAAACTAATTCACTTGAATTCTTTTGCAGAGATAATTATGCAACAAAATAATTTAGTTATATGGGCATGGGTGGTTGTTATCACTGAGATTAACTCATGTTGTAAAACTCTATCTTAGAGTCTGGAATCCATGGTCTGCTCTGTTTCAAACCAAACTCTTTTATATGGGTGTGTTACTTAATCCATTAATATACTTGTACTAAAAATAATTAAATGCTTAAATCTTTGTGCCTAACTGTCTCATAGTTGAAGTCGTATTATTCACTGTCAATTTTTACAGGATATTTTGCTCTGATTTTTTTTAATTGCAAAACAGATTTTGAAAAAGTGTTTTTCTTTTTAAAAAGTTTTAGTTAAAAATCTTTTTATGTTGATTTATTTTTATCATTAGCAGTTATGCTATTTTCATTATGTTAATTTTAGCTGCACAAGCTCCAGCAACAGTCCCATCAAAAATACTTCAAGTTGGTGAGAAAAGAAAGCATCCTGCACATATACCTGAACATCTTCCATCATTTCCAGATCCCCACACATATATAAAAACACCAGTAAGTGATTTTTTTGTTGTTGTTTTACATACATCGAATTTTAAGGTGGACCACTGGGGAAAATATAGATATTTATATAATTTGTATTTAAAATGAGGTAATCATGAATTTGACATCTAATGAATATTTGGCTTTTACCATTTGCATTAAAAATTAATTTATAGTTGTTAATTTTAAACTAGTATGGTCAAAAAAATTTTGACTTGGGGGGCGAAAATTCATAGAAAATAGACCTTGGGTGCCCTTTGCATTATAATAATATAATTGCAACACTTCCTAGATAAACTTGGTATCGATAGAAAGCTTAGTCTATCTATTGCTTAATGGTACTGCCCACTAAAATTTATAGAAAAAAGCATTGAAGGAATTCTTTGTTCTGTTAACCGATACATTTTTTTGAAACACAGTTATATTTGTTGACATTTTAATTTTCGTTTATCGTTGGTCGGCTAATTTTGGATTTGACCCAAATGGAACAAATCAATTCCACAATGCAACACCCCGCCTGCATCATCATTCAAAATTACTGTGCCCAGTTAGCATAAGCCATAAGCTGTCTATCAGGCAATCAACTTTAATTTTGGAAATCTTCAAAAATTCATATTTGATTAATTTGAACATAGCTTCTTGCTTTGAGTAGGTAAGTTGAATTAAATATTGTATAATGTAATTAATAATAAATGTTTTAGCTAGTTTTAGCAGCTGGATGAATGTTGAGCTAGATTTAGTCTGGTCTGATGTTACAGTATGTAAGCCTACTACATAATTATAAGAACAGTTTGATACATGTAATGTGTGTGTAGGCTAATGATTTAGAAAAAAGGCTACTTTATGCCTAATTGTATAAAATTGAAATAAATAATTATAATTTTTAATATTACTAAGCATTCATAATTCTCTTTTTTATGTTTGCATCCTTATCGGTGACTTATTTGGTGTGATATTTTAAAATTTTATTTCGTTGTCAATGAAAACAATGATGAGCATGATAATGATGAATGTCAATGAATGAAAGAAATGAATAAGCTTAAGGTAACCTAATTTTTATTTTAAAAAAATAAAATAAACCCCAAATAAAACAAAAATAATAATAATAGAAATGTTACTATTCCCTTAGATTTTCTTTTAACAATACTATTTAGCTTTGCTTAAGTCTAATAGTAATTTTATTTTTCAAAAGATAATAAATACATTTTGTTTGGTTCAAAATACAGTATGTCATGGTCCCCAAGTCTAAGAGATCCAAACAACTGAAGAAAGACAGACTAGCATAATTGGAAAAGAACAGGGATCACACTTCACCACCAACTTCATTGCCAGCTTCTCCACCAGCTGAAATAACTATGGCATCATACAACTCCAAACCCAGGCTTCATTCTTTTGAGTCAGAGTATCAGTACACCTCTGCCTCATCCATAATGCTAATAGATGCACTTCAGCTACTGTATCAGAAGTTTCCATGCCAGGTATTCGAGGAGGGACACTTTATCATGTGATGAGAGTAAACGCTTAGGAATCATATCTTCTTACATGTCAGTTTTATGCAATGGCAAAACTTTTGATATCAGCAAAAGAGCTGTGGCAGCATCATTAGTGACTAGATTGGAGCATGCTGTGGGGAGGAAAATTTTTTAATCAATTAATGTTCCCAATATTCAACAGAAGACATTCGACCAGCATGCCACAACCATTCCGCAATCTCTACTTCAAAAACTTCTTTTTAGTTTTTTCAGATTTTTGAGGAATGCCAAAAGGATCAAGAGGAAAAGTATTATATGTACCGACTTCAAACATTGCATTCTTCTTTTCATTGATGTTCTCTACATATTAACCCTTTACAGTCCGATGCGCCCGAAATGCGCCGATTTTTTCCTTAAGCGTACAGTCCGATGCGGCCAAACCCGCCCGTTTCGAGGTTGTTTACTTTCGTTCTTAGCACAGCGGAAGTCCATTGCGCATTACTATTTATAGTTCTACCGGAAGAAAGCCTCGTAGTCGGCATTTATTTCGATACTACTTTGACCGCGGTGTGTTTAGGGGCTGATTTTCTATGATTTTTTTAAAAGTCGCGATTTTTTCGCTGTAAAAAATGGCTATCTAAGCCTTGGATACACTTTTGAAAGAACTTAGGCCTAATGAAGCTTCACTATTTCATGAGTGGGAGGGTCTCTGAAACTATTTTTAGGTTTAACTTTTGCTTTAATCATTTCTTTGTATTTAGGTATTTTTTATTTTATTTTGTTGCTTCTAGTTTATTTTCTGAAAATTAATTAGATAAAGAACCTTCATTTAAAATGGAGTTATGTCCCTTTGCTTGGGCGCTGGGAGTAGACAAGGCTGAATAGGTTGGACTGTAAAGGGTTAAGCCCATGTTTTTTTTATATCTTTCCCACAGAAATTTTAAATTTGACAAAATTTTATGTGACCCCCACATGCATGGCATTTTTAGCTTTTCTAATAATTGTGATGCAGTGAGCTAGGATCATTGTTTTAACAATTTTATTTTTATTGAGTGTGCAAAATTTCATTATGATATTGCAAAACCAATAAGTGTCAATAAATTTGTGTAACTGTCAAAATTGGTATAAAATTTTCATTAATTTTGCAATAAAAATAAAAAATGTGAAGAATAAACTTCAGTGGCTTTTTTTTTTAGTCTTTCTGTTTCTTTATTGTTTGTATGTACTATTTTTTTACTTCCAAATTTAGAAACATGGAAATATTGTTTTTTGTTGTTTTTTTACACATTGGACCATCTAACATGGGAAGCTACTCTTTGTAGAATTTATGGGAAGTAAGTAATCATTTAAAGGGAGACAAATTGCTCATTTGCAAAATAGATTTTTATTATGTACATTTTTTAATTTTCGTGGCTGGAATAAAATATTCTTTCTGGTATATACAATGTTATATTATATTATATCGCTTATTTAATTGAACTCTTGATTTATTAAGACTTTTACAATTTATACACCTGGTTTACTTAGAGATATGCAAATTTATATTAAGTAACAATGTGACATTTCAAGGAATGCAGCATATATAAAGGTGAGAGTAGCTGGTTACTGATGTGTTGTAAGAAAGGAGAGAAGGTTAGCACTCCCCTTGACAAGGACGGACGAGACCCTTGTGGTCTAACAACACACAAAGGCATGTCTCCTTACTTTGGAGGCACACCATTTTTTTTTTTGGGGGGGGGAGAACAATATTAATTGCCTAATTCTTGTATACACCCCCCCCCCCCCTGAAACCTGCCTAGGGGCCATCTATATAGTATGTAAGCAAAGTTAACAAAAAATTTTATAAAAATTGTAAGAAAGGAGGGAAGGTTAGCACTCCCCTTGAAAAGGGGGGGCGAGACCCTTGTGGGCTAAAAACACACAAAGGCATGTCTCCTTACTTTGGAGGCACACCATTTTTTTTTTTGGGGGGGGGAGAACAATATTAATTGCCTAATTCTTGTATACACCCCCCCCCCCTCTGAAACCTGCCTAGGGGCCATCTATATAGTATGTAAGCAAAGTTAACAAATAATTTGATAAAAGACTTGTTTGAACATCACTGTATCAATACCGCTAGATTGTCTCCATATGGAATAATTTTACCTAACTACCATGTCTTTTTCCTGTTTGGTTTTTACAATTTTGTTCAAATCACTTCCTTTACACTTTTCTTTACTTTGTTTCTGCCTGTGTCTTTCGCCCACTCTTATTTTTCTCCCCTTTTTAGGTAGGATATCTGTATATATATTATGTAAATTTTATTTATACTTATTTAACTTATTTGTCTTTTTGTTGTACTGATGAAGGCATGTGCCGAAACGTATACTTTTGTATTCTGTAAAATTATTATTAAACTTTATCTTATATTGTTACATTGACACAAATTGTTGGTGTCTATTTAATCTAGGATATAATAAGTTTGTTGAGTGTATCCAGGCATACAAAGTTTGATGAACTTGGATTTAATGCAGACACACATTTCAGAATGCTACAGTTAACTGTAACTTGAGCAGTGAGTTCACTGATGAACTTGTCTACACACGCAAAAAGGATTCTGGCCACTGGCATGCATTGAATCCTCATTAGTTGAGTAGTTTCTGTAACCATTTTACCAGTTGATAACAGCATAAACAAATTCTGTTAATGTTTTTGACACCCCCTGAGCTCTTTATGGCCTTGTACCCTAGTAGTTGTCGTTGCTCAGTGGAATTCCAATTTGAACTCCTATTGCATTAGCTTCTTTCACAATATCATCCCAAGTGTCATTGTAAGATCTTCTCGGGTGAATTCTAGCAGAAGTTCTGCTGATAAATAATCAACTGATGAGTTTTGTAATTCTTACGATACTTAATTGGGTGCATCTAATAACTTTTCAGCCACAAGCAAAAATGCATAAATTATATTGAAGTAATTTTTTTTCGAAGCCGGTGAGACTTTGCTTTTGCTGACCTGTCAGCATTATGTAATCCAAAGCCTTCCAACACTTTAATGATATAAATTCTAAGCTTTATTTTGCGCACAGACTGATACCTATAAGACCACAGAGTTGCAACCAATCTGTCAAGCTCCTCAGTTATCCTCAATTTGTGCTTGTACAAATAGTTATGGTTGAGGGTCACAAACAGATAAGAAAACAAAGACCGATTTTATAATTGAAAACATGTCGACGATCTCAAGTATATTTTTAACCAGGTTGATTAAGATGCAATGCAGACTATGGACACGGCAGTGTATGTAGATTACCAATGGAGCTATTTCTTTCATCCTGGCCTGTACACCTCGAAGGCTGTCACTCATTACCGAAGCATCCTCATAGCATTGGGCAATAAATTGATCCCATGATAATTTGTTTTCCAGGAGTGAATTTTTGTAAGCAATTGCCAATGACTGAGCATCTACATTTTCCAGATGAAAAGTACCTAGAGGTTTTTTCTAAACTGAACCATCTGGTGAAGTGGATCTGATGATGAAGCTCAGTTGTTCTTTTTGAGAAATATCTTTCTATTCATTGACCATCACTGTCCAGTATGGTTCAAGTGAATCAAACATGTTCTGTCTAAAAAAAATTACAGAGCCTTGTAAAATATAGTTCTGATACGCTGCCGACGTGTAGTATCAGCATCTTGTTCGCAGTCTTTCTTGTAGTTGAGGTGAAAGTTGACTCACCGTTTCAAGCAAATAAAATTTCCTTTGTTAGACCATTCTTTTGATTCATTGTTGCGAAAAAAAGCCAGACCTTGACAGTGACCGTTACAAACTAGATACGAATTCACAAAAATAAGAAACTTTTGATTCCAATTTTCCAGAACATCTAACTTTCTCTGAACATTTGTCAGATTTGATTCAGATTCAACCATTCCTGCTGACACTTTCTTTTCTTGATTCCATAACCTTGATCCATCTTTGTGCTTTGTACTGGACTCATATTGTTTCAACAATTTTTCCATATCGGTATTTTAAAAAAAATTCTTATTCCTTTTTCTTTTCCTTATTTATTTCTTCCTACGCATGATTCTGCTGTCTAAGATACTGATACCTAATACATTTTTTCCTCCTAAAATCAGCCCTCTCCTCCCCCCAAATGTTCCTGCTTTTATTCCAACTTAGTGACCTACATAGTTACATTTATTTTTAACCCAACCATTTATTTTATTTTATTTATGTATTTGCTATTTTGGAGTGTACTTGTTAGAATTTAAAACAGGGAGCCTGGTGAAAACCTAAATTTGGCAAAGGCGCAGGGAATCTTTTTACACTGGTGTAGCCCAACAAAATTACATCACATGCACATTGTAAATACGGTGGACAGAATACTACTATAATACCTCTACTGAGCATGTCTTAGCAAGTTCATTTGTGAAAATACATGGCAAAATTATGATGATAATTCCCACAAAACATTGCATGCATAAATATGCCTTTTTTTGACTGACAACATTTCAGCATGATTATTGCAGAATTTTAAAATAAAAGTCCCTACTTTCTGCCAAGAAGCCCCCCTCCAAACCCTATGCACACATACGCAAAATCGACAAATTTAAAATTATGTATTTACTATAATTTTGAAGTAGCATACTTCAACTAAATGTCGCCTGGGGTGAACTCTTACTCTTAAAATGCCCCCCACCAAGCACATAATCTTTATTTAATTCATGCTTTATGTAACCCCAAAAAGAGCGGCCCCAGGGTTGTCACCCTTTTTACACTCACCTAGATTTGTCACTACAAGGAGGCTGCAACCTGGCTTCTTAAAAAATAGGAATCCACAGTGTCACCCTGCCTAAACTACGCCACTTGACTCATAAGTGATGGTATTAAAAATAGTGCTGTATTTTAACTGTTATAACATGAATATTTCTTTAGTGTTTCAAACAACCTGCAAATGAGTATCAACTTGTAAGAGAAAAGGCTGCCTCTCAGAAACGAGATGTTGAAGTTGCCCTGACCCGCTTCATTGCTAAAACTGGAGCAACACATTCACTCTTCAGAGATGACAAATCTGCCTTTCCATGTAAATCTTTTATTTTTGTTACTCTAATTGTATATCCATATTTTTAATTTTAATAAAAGCATGGGGCAATTAAAAAAATCTCAGATACCCCATATAGTTTTATTAAAAGTATAGGACAATTTAAAGTTTTTTTTAGACATCCCTTATAGTTTTAAGATAACTCCAAATTAATTAATTTTTATATCTACATTTTTAAAATGCATAAATAAGAGCTTAATAATTCTGTAAGCTTTAACTTAAGGCAAACCTCCTACTTTTCTTGTCATAAGTTTAGGTGATGGGCATGAAAGATGTTATACTAAAACAGTTATGGATTCCAGTGCAACACGATGTTTTTATTTGTCTTGTTTATATGCTCATATTATCAATAATTTAAGAGCAGAGCTTTTCAGAACACAAGGAAATAAAATGTTTGTTAGGTGGAAGTGCTGAACTCTAACTGTCCTCCACAAATTATTCAAATATGATCAAGAGAAAAGGGAAACACATTAGGTGGTCCAGTTATAGCATGGTCACTGGTAAAACTAAAATATGACTGTAGAAAGATATTTAAAAATTATACCTTAACTAGACAGATGTACTAAATTACATGGTCGGTTTCAAATTTTTGGTGTACATATTTGTATAAAAAATGCACATTCATTGTAGTGATACTAAGCAATTTTACTTTTACATTCTGATCTTTCCAGTGATTGCTTGCAAGCCATGCCCACTACCTTATATGTCAGCATTACTTCCCATGGATAGTGAGATATCAACTCAAGAGAGCTCAGATGCAGACTCAACTCCACAATTACATCACCAGGTCAATGATGGTCATCTTGGTCTTAGCACAGATGTTGCCACAGACAGTGAAACTATTGATAACCCTTACCTTATACCAGCCAAAATAGCCAAGAAGAAATGGAGATGACATAAAATTAAGAATAAATCAATGGTTGAATGACATGTTCTGTGAATGGGGAGAGCTAGTGTCAGATTGTTATGTGATAAGAAGGCAAATTGGAAAATGTTGATATTTGGTAGAGAAAGTGAGGAATTTTATGTATAAAAATATTAATATTATTATATCAATAACAGTAACCAAATAAAAAAATAATTCATTGTTTAAAAAACAAGTCTTTATTACTTGTTTTGTGTACTTCAAAAATTATCAGTTATGTTAGGAATAAACGTTGCCCTAATTAATAAGTAAAAAATGTTAAATAACTCTTAAGGTACAACAAAATGTATCTCCCTAAACACAAATTGGAAAGTGTAGGTAGACAAACATAAGACATTAAAAAAAACATACTGGTACACCAAGAAATTCTAAATATTTTGCTTTTGCTATTTCTTGAATTATTGTTTGCATGTGCAGCCAATCCTTAGACCCTGGACCACTTTTCTTGGTGTCTTCATCCCTTTTGGTAATTTTAAAAAAATCTTAGGTATAAACCCATGTAACTGGAGGTGTTCTAATTCTAATAATAATTGCTCAAAAACAAGCATTTTAACCTCGAAAAGTTTTGTAAAAAATTATTTGAATGGCAAATTGCATGGAGAGACGAATGCCCTCCCCTCATTTTCTTTTTGTTGCTCTTCTCAGTTGATACCTATAGTTCTGGCCCCCTCTTGAATTATGCCTCATGAACAGAAGGAACCCCCCCCCCCCCCCCACACACACACACACAATCTCTCTCTCTGAGGTAATCCATAATAACCCCCCTTGAATTATGCCTCAAGAACAGGAGGAACCCCCCCCCCCCCCACACACACACACACAATCTCTCTCTCTGAGGTAATCCATAATATCAAATGAGCTGCTATTTTAGAAATAGAAACAAAATGGAACAGATTGTGCGTAACAACAAAAGCTAAAACATAATTCTGGACAGGGCAATGTAGTATCACATGTTACAAAGCAGATTTAGTTGCTGGATTATTTGTGCTATATTCAATAAAGGAACACACATTTTTAATGAAATAAGTTACATGGAATGGTGGAGTAAAATACAAGAACTTCTTTACTTTGCCTTCTGAAATGGAACATGTGGAGTCTAATAATCAGTGCACTATCCCTCAATTTAAAATGAAGGGAAGTACGCCATAAATAAAAAAAAAATATATATACAGATACCTTTATCAAGAGATATATTCTTAATATACCCATAATGTCCGCTGTAAACAAGAAGTAATTTTATATTATTTCAATGAAAGAGTTGCTCTCCCACTATTTCAAATTCTGTTTTCTTCCATTTCAAAATATAAATAAAAATAAAATGAAGTCAACAAATTAAATTATAGGTAAAAACGTTCACCAAGCACACAACTGCAAAATGCTAAACACAATTGACAGTTATTTCCCCTCGCATTCAATACAAAACCATTTCAATTTCATACATTAACGATCAAGACATTTGTTGAATGTTTAATTTATGAAATTTAAAGTTTTCAATGAAGCTTTGTTTGTATTATCAACTGCACAAGAGGAATGAATATTATTATTATCACATTGAGGATAAGGATTTTCAAATTTAGATGGTAATTTATGATATTTACACACACAGAAAAAGAACGCTCGGACCAACTGTATCAAGGTATATCATGAAATAAGTAAAACAAAGCGTGGGAAAACATGAAAAAAGGACACAACAAAACAATGTAGCTTTGTTGCATCTTTTTTTTCTTCAGGTTTTCAGATACTTTGTATCACTTATTTCTTTCTACCTAACCTTCATTATCAAGGTATACCAATTCTATAATTAATACATATCACCTACCACTTGCATCTAAATTCCCATTGTAGATTGTAAAAATGACTTTTCATTCTAAATTTAGCTTAATTTTCATGATACTCATTAAATGCTCTTTCTTTTTGGATTTTGCACCAAGAATAATGAATATCAATTGTTTATCTTGACTCTGGTGTGACGTCCCTTGAATGAGCAGATGGTGGCTTTAATAAAGTCATCATGATTGGGAAATGAATTGTTTCATCATATATATCTGGCAAATCAGCTTTCATCTGAAATGTATAACAAAATCTTTGAAAAATCCTCTCTATACCAGTTCATTTTTCACAAGTATGTTTCATTTTTAAAACTACAGATCTATGTGCCAAGAAAAAGAGATATGTTAAGCTGGAACTAAACACTAACAAACTTAGAGATAACTTTCGCTTTTGCTTCCTCATGAAAAGTTGAAATTTTAATTTATAAGAAATATAAGAACCAGGCTTTGCTTGGCTTCATACAAGGAGGGATATAGCTCTCATGTGGTTGCATCATTGACCTAAAATCTAACCTTAGAGTGCAAGTTCCAAATCCTGGAATCATAAAATTGATTTGTTGACACTTCAAAGAGTGCAAACGTTTGAATCATGTCTGCAAACTGATGGAATGTATTATTTCTTGAGGGCGCAAATATCAATGCTTGGCCCTGTTTGCGAAATATAAATATATATATTTTGCTCAGATTCAGTTTAAAGAGAACTCTTTAATGTGTCTGTTATAGAAAAAAAATTAAATTAATCACATGCAGCTTCATTAATGTATTCATGATTTCATTAATTCATTTGTTCTATGACTCGGCTGTATCAACCGACATCTATTTTTTTTTTTAAATGGCAAAAGAGAATCATAAGGAAAGGATATGAATTTGATCCATGTACTATAGTATAGTATACAGAACATTTGGTAAACTAATTGTTTTTTTATTTTAAATTTATCTACAATTTTTAAGAGTTACAAATAATAAAGTATTTAAATATTTATAAATTATGTCCGAAAGCTACATTGTGATTAAAAAATATGAAGCGAATTGAAAATTATGAAATAACAATTTGTTCAGCAAAGCATATGTTTTGTGTGTAAGCAATATTTACATTTATATAAAAGTAGAAATGATGATGAAAAATTCCACATACCCCAGGTTTTAGCAAATCGAATATAAGACGAGCAAGATCTTTTCTTCCTTCATCAAAAAACAAACTGTTGAGATGATACACATTACAGCTTCTATTTTACTTATAGCAATGGCCAGTATGTTTAAACTTCAACATGCAAAAACATTATCAAATATAAAATGAAAATCTAGGCAATTCGTAAAGATTTAAAGTGCTGTTTATAAAAGCAGAGATTGAGAGTATCTTTAGATTCATGCTTATGATGAATCAGGTCCCTAATAAGTACAACTTCAGTCTAATAGTAATATATTCATATTTGAAAATTTGTGTATACATTTTTACCAAAATGATTTCCTTGTTACAAAATGTTTTTTTATTTTATAAAAAAACAACAAAAACCTTACCAGTCAGCACAAAGAACAAAATCGAACTTGGATTGAAGATCTGCTTCTAACGCTTCCGGACCCCATCGAAGCAGTCTGAAAAAAACATAGAAAAACTGTCTATAACTACACAAAAACTGTCTATAACTACACAAAAACTGTCTGTCACTTAGGCCCCCTTCCTTTTTAATCCACTTGGTCTAAAAAAAATCTAAGATTTATGCTAGGGTGTAGACTTCACATGGATGAAATCCACAAGGCCTGGGATTATTCTTTTTAGAATTATAAGCTGGTTTCATACACAGCAAACTGCCTCTCTTCACACTGCTGGATAACCCAAAGGAACATCATATATGGTTGATACAGCTTGGCAGCAGTGGCGTGGCAGGATTTGCCGCAATGTTCCAATGTATTAATGTAATCTGTCTCCGGAATTCCATCTCTGGGTTAGAATTCAGCTTCCTCTCTTAGATGAGCTGCCAGCCAAGGTTAATGAGTCCCATCAACTGGTGATGTTTTTGCTTGACTGGGCTTCGCGGGGGATTTAACGTCAGACTCAGATTAGACCACTCTGCCACTCAGCACCCAAAGACATAACTTCATGAAGAGATGGACTCTTTAAAATGATGACTGTCAGCTCAAATAAACAATTTGTGTGGAATGATGAGACAGCCTGAACAAATGGGCATGACAGCCTGAACAAATGGACATGACAGCCTGAACAAATGGACATGTGATCCTACCTTGCACTCACTGTTGTATTCTCAAACTTATTATGCTCTATGATACACTCCAAGTCTGAAACAGTAAATTATTTTGTTAGGTGTCATGAAGAATGCCCATCAAGAGTGGAACCAGGCCAGTGTATTTAAGAGGTGTTTCTCTTTTTAACTGTTTTCATTGTAAACATCATTTCATAAAGAGTTTTTCTTTTATTAGGGTTTGCTTAATGATCTAAGGAAATCATAATTATTTTAAAGTAATTGGAACAAGATATTTGTGGTATATTTACTTTTAACAGAGTCTTCATTTCCATCAGTAAGTTCAACATGAGCAGCTTCAGAACAGAGCCCCAACTACATGAACAGAATGGTAAAAATTAATGTTGTAAAAGCTGGAACAAATTACAGCAGATGTTAGTTTATTGCGTACCGGTATTGAATACATTCAAATAATAACGTTATTTCAGATGAACACACTCTGGTATCAAGCGGCTAAAAATATTCAGTACATTTAGAGTAACCCTAGCCCATACATGCCAACCTGTACGGGTTTCCATACTTTGTACAGGTTTTTAATGTTTTTTCAAGTTGTACTGCCATACAGGATTCTGTACATTTTTTTTACTGGATTTACAAAAGAAATATTTTTGCACATGACAGTGATGACACATGATTGAAATCTACACTGGTTTTTCATACTCATGTACAGTTTTTTGGGGAACTAGCCAAATGGCAAGTTATAATTTAGAATTTATAGCACTTGTAGCCAGCTGCATGATTTTCAGGAAAAGGAAAAAAATAAGCCAAATTGCCATTCACATCTTCTAGTTTCAACAAAAACCATCACTATCATACTTTGTTTATGTTTTTGACAAAACTTGATGTTAGATCTGTCTTGCCCTTAATATTTCACATTTGTATTAAGCAAGCAGATTTTTAAAAATAAAAAAATTGCACAAATAATTGTGTATGGAATATGTTCAGAACACTTATGCACCCCAGGTGTGCTACTTGGTGCTTGGACTGCTCCTAGATGTGCTACTTGGTGGCTTGGACTGCTCCCAGATGTGCTACTTGGTGGCTTGGACTGGTCCCAGATGTGCTACTTGGTGGCTTGGACTGCTCCCAGATGTGCTACTTGGTGGCTTGGACTGCTTCAAGGAACAAGTTGCAAAGCAGCATGTTTGTTAGATTGTAAGGAGGTCAAAAGATTTTATCTTGATCCTTCCCCTTTAAAAGTGATGTTCCACCAAGAAATAAACCAACTATGAAATGGACAACTTACTGCAACTCCAGCCAAGCAAGTCATTCCTCCACCAAGTTCACAGAGAGTCATGCCTCTGGTAGAAAGAAATATACAACAGTTTAATACTAATTACTGTACCTAAATATAAATTTAGTTCTTGATATTAGTGCCTTTCAACTAAGACCCCAAACCTCACCAAAAATATTTTTTTGTGCTAATGACTCCATTTTCCAATCCAAAATCTCTCCTCTAATTCCAAATATATTTTAAATTTTGTGGATGATATTGTGGCAAGTGTATTCTTCTCAGGTGACACACAATATCAGCATATTAAACAAAATGAGAACTCTCATTAACCACAACAAAATAATTCTTAACATTCACTTCTAAATGCAATTATTGTATTAGCATGCCTTTTGAACCACTATATGTGTGTGTAATTAATACTTTATTTAGATTCATTCATGCTAATTATATATACAGTAAATTCCCAGATTAAAATAGTATTTCCATGTGTCAACTCAAATTAAGTTTCCTTTTTTCATCCACTACATGTCAATATAAATTATGAACATCATAATGTCTAAGCTGTTCTATTTACTATTTACTCTTTTATTTTTACTGTATATAAAATTTTTTAAATAAATGTTGGTACTGAAAAAAAAAGAAATTTTAGTTAGTGGTTTAGTAAAAAAAAATAATTGCGATAATGTAATAAATCAACTATTCTGTTGTATGTTTTTAAATATTTATAAAGCAGCTTGACTTATTTTTGTGCTTGAAACATTACTTTGAGGTGTTTTGATTTAAGATTATGCTAATTTTCAAATCTTTCAATCCAACACCAAAGAAAGCTATTAAATTTTTTAAAAATTTGTTGACCTCCTTAATTCCATTCATCTATTGTCAGCAAAGGAAACGACATAAATGTTTGGGAGGCAATTGTTCAATGTTATTTACCATAATTAAAGCTAATTATTACTGACAAGATTTAGTTAAAACTAATTTGATGAGGATATTTCTATTTCTAGAGACTGAACTTTATTTTCAGTGAAGGTTTAAGACTTGTAGTGGCATAAAATATCTATCAAGCCATGATAATAATGTTTAACTTAGGAAAAGGTATGATATTTTATTTTGCCAAGTCTGTTAGTGGTCCATTAAGTTTGTGTAACATAAGTATTTACTGATCCTGCTTTGAAGTAATTAGTATTGTTATGGTCATTCCAAATAAAATGAAACTTAAAATATAAATAAAGTATTATTGAGACATGTTCAAACCAACTTGAAGCCTTGGACATGCTGCATGCAATAAAAGGTCATGACCTCCTCAGATGGCCACACACCTGGAACAATAACAATAAATGTTGGTGACAATTACAAATCAGGTGAGGAACGTGTCAGACAGTTAGCCTGGACTAAAACATGTAACATCTCAAACAAAACATTACAGAGTTGTTTTTTTAATGAAAAATTTGAAAATACTAGTACTTTTGCTCAGTATATAGCCATGCTGTTATTTAGCTTATTTCTAACTTTCATTACATGATCTATATACATACAATGTAATAGAAGATTAGAGTAGTTTTTGATGAAAATTTGATAATTATCATAGCATTCTTAAATGTAATGTTTACTTTTTTGTAAAGGCATAATCTGAGTCAATTTTTGGGGAAAATAAATTTATTCATTCTTATATTTTATTTTTAAAGCAAAATTATTTCTAATTCTACTCACAAACATTTCCAGTGTTGTTAAAACCATTCAATCTCTCAGCTGAAATTCCTCCACAAAGGTGTCTGCAACGGCATGAGTAATATTATCCATTATTGGCTTTTAATTTGTTTATCCATTACTTCTTTAAAAAGAAAATAAAAATCAAACAGAGATAAAAATAGAAAATTCGTCCCATTTTTACAATATTTCAAATAAGTCTTTTTTCACTGTCTAAATGCTCCAAATAAGTTTCTCTCAAAATGTTTCTTGTTCATTGAAAACTATTCATTTTCTTAAAAACTAAATATTTTCACATTTATAACTTATCTGACTCTAATTTAGCTTTTTTTTTTTATATATACAACATATAATTTATGCAAAATTAAATACAATAATATGCGGTAATTACTTTAGATGTTAAATTTAAGAAAAGCCCTCTGTTAATTGACATCTTATGGTATATTGATACATTTTCATTCATATCTATTGATCAGAGCTGTCACATGGGACCTTCAACACCTTCGGCTGCCAGGGGCCTTGGATATTTATGGCATCCACAGTTGTGACAGGGAACAAAAATTTAACTGCCAGCTTTGAATGCAGGAGGGCCAAAACCGCAAAGTGGCGTGGAAGGAGGGGGGGGGGGCGCCTCCAATAGTCATGTGACTGCTCTGCTATAATCTGCTGTAAATCATCTGATTAATATACTGCTTTAATACTTTAAACCAGGCCTGCGCAACTCAAAATGTAAGGCGGGCCGTAATACTTTATGAAAATCTTTTGCGGGCCAAAAGGAAATAGGATATGACTTCTGTGGGCCAAAAGAAAATAGGTCAGGGGGGAATAGCTATTCAGAAAATAATACGAATAAAGAATGTTTCGTTACTTCGCGGGGCGCAAAGAGGGTGCAGGCAAACACATGCCCGCCCGTGGGCCGTATGTTGTGCAGGCCTGCTTTAAACTAAGATTGTGAGTTTTCCTCATGCCTACCTTATGTGCATTGAGAAGCCAGGGATATCTGGACAAGTGTATAAATACCAGTTGGCATGCAAATCTGTACTCCAATTATCCCCAGTAAGCAGTTGCTGGGATAACAATCCAAAAGACTGGAACCGCCTCACAGAAACAATACTATCAACAGTCTCCTCACAGGTGCTTCCTTGTAAAACCTAAAGTGTCAAGGAAATCATTACTAGGGCATCGACATCTAATCTTAACAACATTCCACAATAAGTCTTCACAAAGTATTAAGATTAAAGTAGATAAAAATTACAAAGATAAAATATGCACCATTATTCACTGCAAACAATGAATTTGTATACACTTAATTTGTATTCTTTATGATTCCATGTCTCATTTATAATGGAAAAAAAATTACCTTAATAATTCAACCCCTTCTCCTAAGATTGCTTTGCTTAAAAAGTGATTCAATTTATTAGTTTTAAAAGAAATCAAACATCTTTTAAGGATAGTGAAGGACATAGCAAAGATTGAAGTGGCACAAAATACAAAAGTAAGCATCACAGCAGAGAGTTTTCATCGCAAGCCAATTTGTTCTTGATGGCAAGACTCACACATGAAAGAAACATTCAGGTGCCATCACTTCAATTTATGCAATCACTCCAGAATGCAATCTAGAAAATGGTTTATCTACTGGTTCGCCCCAGGCAGCAATTTTTCCATTTACTGAGGGATGGCATGTAAGGCATCCCCCCGACACCACTTTTACTTGGCACAGCCACGGTGCAGCAGAAAAGAAATATTCTTTTTTCAAATTTCTGACATCTTTAGGATTTTTACTTTTGATGGAACTTGTAATAAAGTGTGTTAAAGTGAACTGTAAGTTGGTCTTTCATTATTATGAATAATTTAAATTATTTTATTATGATTAGCGATTTTCTTGTTACAGTGTTTAACTGTAGCAAAAGAACATGTTCCCTTTAGGTCAAATAGATTTAAGGTTTAAAGATTTAGGGCGACTCCATTTTGTTTTCGTTCAGTATCTATTATGATGTACAGGTAAGTACTTTTTTGTGAAATAGGCACCGGCATTGCGTATCGGCACTTATTTGGACCACATGACTGCATTATTTTGTACTCATTTATTAATGAAAATGTAGGTAAAAGAAAGAAATAGTTTAAATAAAAAATATATAACAAAATTATGATTAAGTAACAATAAAAAAAAGTATTTTTATAAAACACAACCAAGTTGAGAGACATCTAAATTTCCAAGCATCTTTTCTGTTTCTCAGTTGATGTAAAACTGAAGTCAGGTAATCACCAAAATGCATTCCTTGATTTTAAATTACTAAAAAATTTCCAGTTCCCCCGTCCCCAATCAAAGTACCCTTACTGGCAACTTTGTGTCTGTATAAAGAAATCGGTACATGTTAATAATCAAATGATTTTCTTAACTGTTAGATAGCTGTTATTTTCCTTTCATTTGGTAAAAATAGGTGATCATATAGCTCTTTATAGAATCCAGGGGCGAAAATAAGATGGGATCAAAGGCATACCCCCAGGGCCAGGACACCAAAACTGTTTGAATAAAGTTTATGTAGAGCTTGGGTGTTGGATTCGCTGCTGGAAATGGTTGCCATTATGCCTACTTTTGATATTTATAAATGCACTACCAAACACAACCCCCCACCAGAAATACCTCTGATCAAATTCCTGTATAAAGTGGTCACAAGGCTAGTGCCGACCATTCCAGCTAACACATATCTCACCCCACAGAAGCCAGGTCACTTAATCAGAGCCAAAAGCACAAGAAACACTGACTTCACATCTGACAACACTATGAGCAGTTACATCCGGAACAATAGTAAATGCTTCACTGTGCCCGGTGTAACAGAGTTTAATATAAACAATTTAACAATCATTCTTCCCACAAACAATAATTGCTTGGAACCAACTGGACAATGCCGCCGTAGACTCTACATCAACCGAGAGTTTCAAGGCTGCCCTGGCATAGGGTTGCCAAACGTCCGGCAAGAGGAGGACATGTCCTTTTTAGCTTAACATTCTCCATCAGGCAGGCAAAAATAAAATCTTTTAAAATGTCCGGCTTTTCTTACATTTTATATTATAATTTTTATGTATCGTTGTTACAACTATTACCTCGTATGTTTACGTTGTTACAATGTATAAAGTCTATGCATTTCTGTGAACCTGTCGATTTTAGTCATTCTCACAATCTAGCTCTGTGCTGTATTATCTATGGTCAAAATGTTAATGTTATTTCCGGTTCCGACAACAAAGACGCAAATTTAAATTGTTTTTTTAATTTGTAATTTTTGCCATCTGTTTATGAAAATGGCTTCTACAAAGAGAAAATGCAAATTCTCGAACACTATGAAAAATAAGTTTCCTTGCTTTGTTGAAGGACACAATGAGAATGAGGCAAAGTGTACGATTTGCGATAGTTACTTGTCCGTACAATTGGCTATTTAAATGATGTTTTTTGACATTTTTAAAAAGGTGTCCATTGAATTTGTTTTTTTTAACGTGACTGTTTCTTGTTCGATTCGATAAGAGTAAGATACACTAATTGGCAGCTATTACAATAAAATTTTGCTGACTTTGAGTTTAATCCCGGACGACTCTGATATAGCTGATAAAGTTGGGCTAAATATTTCAATGGAGAAAATTCTCTTTAGCTAGTACGACTAAACCTACTCAATGAAAGTAGTAGGGAAATAAAGCATGCTTTTCCAAATTTTATTCGATATTGATTGATAGTTACATCGCAAAACTTACTTTGGCAAGAATTTCCCATCTCTTTTTTGCTACTTTTCTCCGGTCACTCAAGATTGGGATATCGCTAGAAGGTCGGTTCATTTCCAGTATGTGTAAATCAAATTCTAGGCTTACCAAATTCTAAATTGTTAAATGCATTACTCCAGTAAAGAAGTTGCTCATTGCGCTGCTATGCTGGCAATGCAGCTATGTCATCGTCTCAGTAAAACATATGCCTAAACAACGTTTCGAATGTAAACAATTAACCTACTATAGCTCTCTGGTAGTTGGAGGATATCAAAACATTGATGGCTGAAAGGTACACATAATTACCAGAGAATGGAGTATAAGACAAAAAATGCCAAGTTACATTAATTTAATTTTTAAATTTCGGATTAGACTGTTAGGCCTACACAGCTTTATTGGTAATGAATAAATATACGTTAAATTTTCTAATTGTGGCAGTGTAAAGGCCACGTTTTTGCGGGCAACCAGTGTGTACCGGTAACACCCAAAAAATCCATAGGGGTGTGACCTTGCCTAACAATAGATCGCAATGTTGACCTCAGATTATCGCTTTTCACCCCAGTCAGTAGTACGGCCGGCTTCTCTCTCCCATGGTGGGGAATATTTAAATTACCACGATGTGGGCTTTAGTTATAAATTATATTATTTATATCTCGGGAACCCTAGCGTAGTAAGTTATAAATTATATCTAGTTAGAAAGGGGATTTTTATTCACTATTCCGTAGCATATTTACAAGTCTCCATCGTTATAGGATAGTTTAAAATTTAGTCATTAATCATTAAGGGAGTTTTCAACTTCATTCATTGTGGTCCCCACCCCTTCTATTTAAAATATTTCAAAAACTATTTCACTCACAGAAATATAAGATAGTATCTTAGATAGCTGAGACAAAACTGCACAGGACACATATAAGTCATTAAGGCTTCGGTCAGGGATTTAAATTATTGCTCGGGTGTAGTCCCCAGAGTTAGATATTTTACCCCAGGAAATCGGCCAGAATGCAACACGTAGACCGTCTTGGTCTTGGTGTGACGGAGGGGCTATCTCATATGTCCACGCGTGGCTTTATTAAGGGGCGCACACTAAGAAAGGGATCATTCAAGGTTTTGAACAGCATCCTTGAAGTGTGTCATTGTTCAGTGCGGCCCATTGGAACGCTCTATATTGTCCTTTTTCTTTAGCTTTTCCTTGTGACATTTTCCTTGATAGCACTTTTCCATTAGAGTTTAATAAAGCTATAGTCCTCAAGACCTGAATTCCTTCATTCTTTAAAATTAGTTTCTGTCAGTCTTGGTACAACCAATCACCATCACCCACAAAGACCAGCCCCAGTCTACTACATAATAGATTTAATTAATGTGTGTGAGGGAATGTATGCTTTCTTTACAAAAGCAAATAATGGAGTAAATGGAAGATATTGATTCAGAAAAAGGAGTCGAAATTAATGAACTTGAAGCAGACTAGGAAACTGAAAATGACTGGCCATGATACTATGATGTAACAGTTTTGATACATTTATGTGCTGCTTCTTTCTGGAATATACTGGTCCATATCAGCTTTGAGCAGAAATGATAAAAATATGATACCGGTACTTCTTTTCAGTGCAGAGATAGGCCTTTCATTTTTGTAATAAAGCACGATGACTAAGCAATATTAAATCTGCGCAAGCTAGCAAAAGAGTTAATCTACAATATGATTTTGAACCCAGAGAAAATTCTGCAATCATGGAGCGTTTCCCGCACTGCCCACTCATCAAACCTGCCTTTGCGGCGACTATTTGATGTTAATATGTCATATAGTAACTGAATAAAAACTGTTAAAATTTTGACCTATAAGAAGTTAAAGTATATATAGAATATTAAGGTTCCAATCACGGGCGCCCAAAGAAAACTTTCTAAAAAGGGGGGGGGGGGGAAAAAATCTATTAACTTTCCAGGGGGAAGGGGGCAACATTTTTTTTAGTAATGTTTTAATGTAGTTTTAATTTACTGCAGCGTATTTGTATGGTGAACGAATGGACAGGACATCAGCTTAGTTACTTTCTCTTTATTATCTCTTTACTTTAATACATTTTTTGTCTATTTTTGTCTAAAAAAAATTTTATCCAATCAATCCAGGGGGGGGGGAAAGTGCCCTCCCCCCTTGCCCCTACCTGCCGGCGCCCATGGTTCCAATAGATAATGAAAGGTGAGTCAGTATTAAACGATGGACTCACTCTGAAAGAAAAGGGGGAAAACATGTTTGGGGTATTGGCGTAGGAAGGGGGCGGTCTGCATGAAGGCGTCAATTTTGGTGCAAAAAGCTCAAGGCATAATTTTATCTTTCTATGAATTACTACTCATTGTTATGAGATATTGGAAATCTAATTGGCTGACCCAGTTAAATAAAAACACTGCGTCTAGAAAAGGGGCCACGTAGAAAGAAGAAGAAAAAAAAGCCGTCACTAGGCCACAGTCATCAAGGGGCGGACTTTGAGAGATTTTTTATTTTGTTCTTTTGATAACATGGAATTAATTGAAATAGCAAGCTGCAGTCATATCTGACACTTGGAATAATCTAGGCTTACATTAAACAAAACACAAAGTATGCTTCCGAATTCCTCGGCGTGCAGAAGTTAGGAGCCAGGAAATGTCAGATAAATTTTAGGCTGTTTTTAGTTAGTGGTTTAGTAAAAAAAAAATAATTGCGATAGTGTAATAAATCAACTATTCTGTTGAATAAATAAACTGCAACACATGACATCCGAGTAGCATTTAGTCAAAATGGACCCGGACACGCAGCGCCGCTATTCGGACCCGGGTCTCTTTAGACTCAATGCTATTCGGATGTTATTTATAGTAGTTTATTTTAGTTAAACTGAAGAAGTAAGTTTACATACATATAGTCCATTCAATTATCTTTCATTTGATACAAAAATTTGTCTTACAACCTAAAATAAATCTTAAAAAAAAAAAAATTAATCCCAGCCTCTCACTTCTCGAACCCGGGTCCGAATAGCCACTTCGAAATATTATTCTGATGTCATTTGTGGTAGTTTATTTTAATTTAACTGAGAAAGTAAGTTTACAAACATATAATCCATTCAATCATCTTTCATTTGATACCAAATTTTGTCCTACTAACCCAACAATAATATTTTAAATATTTTTTTTTTAATAACCCCAACCTCTCACTCTTTTCCGTGTCTGAATCCCGGGTCCGACCGAAGCCTTCCAAATTAGCCACTTTTGTGGCGAATGAAAAGTAAAATTCGCCACATTGTGTATAAATAATACAATACTACAAGTCAAATGAGAGTAAATACCACCGGAGGCGGCGCGTATGATAGTAACGAATTAATTTCCCCAACGAACATTTAAAACAGAATTAAATTTTTTTAAATATTAATTTTGACCTAGAACCAAAAATAACATTTCCAAAAAAAGGTTGAAAGTTGAAACATAATATACGCATGTTCTGCTGACGTCAGCCTGGTCTTCAAAGAAAATGGCGGAGCCGGAGTTAAATGTTGACAGTCTCATATCTCGTTTACTGGAAGGTTTCTGTTTACAAACATTGCTTTTGATTTGATTACACTCCCGTCAGATATATGACACAATTAGGTCGTCCATTAAATTAAAATTATACCCGGGGCATTGCATTATTGCCTTTTGAAACTTAAAGATAATGTGAAAATAAGTCAACGTTGGTAAAGTCTTGGACTTGGACTTGGGCGAAACTTGACAATGAATCTGGAACTCACTGCGGAACTGGAATAAATAATAATTATTAATCTAGAAATAAGCATTTGAAGTCCTACTGATAAAAATGCGTCCGATAGTACTTAATAATCGTATTGCGGACCGGGAATTCTAATAAATGTCGCCAACAAAAGGTTTAGCTAGGGCCTAGGTCCAAGTCTTCCAATTCCAAGTACTACAAAGAGGCTAAGTACCAAGTCCTAACTTCTGACTTAGGCCTAGAAAAATAATAATATTAAGCTAGGCCCAGCGTAGTGCCTAATTGTTAGTAATATTATTATTAGGCCTATCCTAATTAATATGCCCGGCACTACGTACACCGTGGCGGTGTACCTAGCGAAACTATTGACTTTGGCTTTGGCCTGCGTACACCGCGGCGGTGTACCTAGCTAAATCATGGTCTGTGGCCTGCGTTCACCGCAGCGATTTAAAGTAGCAAAACTATGGTCTTTGCGAGTCTTTAACTTTTTTGGTCTAACCAGTACTTGTAGATTTAATGTTATACTAGTGTTAAAACTGAAAACTATTTATTTAAAATTCGTTTATTACCTTGGGAAGATATTGAGTAAGCTCCACGCTTATGTGGCAAAGTGCATGTAAAGCATTTCTTCTTATTTTTGGAAGGGAGGGGGCTGGGGGTGTAATGTTAAACCGTGATTTATTTTTAAAGTTAACCACTTTATTCCCCCTCCCCCAATATATTGAAATACAAATATATTTATTAATTGTAAGTTTTATCATATGGTTGTGAATCTTAATTTGAAATTATTCTCTCATGCCCCCCCCCCCCCCCCCATTTTTTTTTTGTTTTTTTTGTTTTTTTTTTTTTTTTTTTTTTTTTTTTTTTTTTTTTTTTTTTTTTTTGGGGGGGGGGGGGCATTATAAATATAACATTGTATGTGATCCCTCGGGCATGGTGTAAAAATGAATGGGAAGACAGTGAATCTATTTTGTTAGCACCAAGATATAATTACGCCACAAATACACTACGGGAAGAGAATCACATACTCATACATTGATCATGAAGTTGTGAAGTTAAAGTAGTCCGAGGCATTGTCATTGTGACACCAAGCATGTGTCAACACAAAACAGCAGTAAGATGATCAATACGAAACACTGCAGTTATTTGAAAGTCTTTTAACAATAATTAAAAATCATTGATTTAGTTTTACATTGGCATTACACATTAGTAAAAAAATGCAGGCAGAGGGAGGGGGGATGCAAAAGGTAAGTTTGTTGTGCGGACGTCCTTTGTGGACAACCCCTATCCTGAGCCGTGATTTGTGAATGCCCTCTTTTTGGTTAAGCCTCTGCCCATAACTCACCACCATCCCCCACTCCCCGGCAAGGATCAATTTCTTAACAAAAAAAAAACAACAACAACAAATACAAAAACTTTGACATAGTGCAAATCCTGTCCCAAGCCCATTGTGCAATGGTTTCTGTGAGAAAACGTCATGTTTTACCCTGAGAATAGCACATGCCATGTCATGCTATTCTGGAAACAAAGTCCGTCATGAAAAGGGTAGACGCAAACCTATGGCTGTGCTATACAGTTTGCTAGCACTCCGCAAGTTTCTAAAATCGAGGTGTTTTCAAAATATTTCCTGTGAGACTGAGTGTTGTGAATGAACCTTTGATATCGTATGTACATTTTGCCAATGCATAAGGCATAGTCAAAGCAAGATGGTTGAAATACGACCATGCACATTAATGACATTAATATTCATATGCATGAATATTATTCATACTGGTATTTTCTTTGGGTGTTCATAAAAGTAAAATGTAAATATTGAACTACACGAAGAATGTTGAAATACAATAGAATATCAATCACTTAGTATTCATAATGTTTCTGTTATACATGTTACATTGACATACACTAACTATACATGATCAGCATGTATTACAAACTTCAAGTTTGTTTTCAAATGTTTAAAGTCTTATTACTAAATTTACCGGTATTTTCAAAGTCAAAGGCCGCCACAACTTGTTGAAACACTTATATATATATAAATATATATATATAGTGTATTTAATATAATATTTAAACATATATTTAAATTGTTTAAATTGCTACAAAATATTTTAAAACTAAAATGGGAGGAAAAAAACTCGATCCCCTACTGAGAATTGATCTCAAACTATATTATCGCCAAGCGTCCACTCTACCACTTGACAACACAAGATCTTCTCTAACAAGTATATCTTAAAACCAGGCCAATGGTAAATTTTTGCCGCGGTGTACCCAGGCCAAAGCCCACGATTTCACTAGGTACACCGCCGTGGTTTACGCAGGCCAAAGCCGATGGTTTCGCTAGGTACACTGCCGCGGTGTACGCATCCACTTCGAATTATTAAATTAATATTATTAATAACTAGGCAGACTATTGTTAATTTTAAAATCTATTTCTCTACCAATTAATGTACATCTTGCATGCAAATAATAGAAAAAAATTGAATTGAAAGTGGCTTGTAAACATTTTTGTTTAGTTTTTTATTTGAGTTTGTGTACCAGTAACCCATAATATAATTATGGGGCCAGTATTCAGAATGGAATAGGCAACCAATAAAAGTAAAAGATTTTAAATTGTAAAGTAAACATTTTAAATTGCTACAAAATATTTTAAAACGTCTCATAAAACTACTGTTGCTGATGAACATGAACATAAAATATTTTTAATTAAAATGGGGAAAAAAAAGGGTTCCCATGCGGGGAATTGATCCACAAATATAATATCGTCAAGCGGCCACTCTACCAGTCTACCACATGACCACACAAGATCTTCTTAGTAGATTCTTCCTTCGGAATAATAACGCCTACTAGTCGTCCGGCGGTCATGTGACATGCTCGCCGGACGTACATTTCCAACACTATTTGTCCAGCGCGCCGGACGTGTAGACACTTCGCGTCCAGCGGTCACGTGACATGCTCGCCGGACGTATATCTCCCACACTATTTGTCCGGCGCGCGGGACATGTAGACACTTCGTAATAATTAATGCCATTCTGGAATTTTCAAATTAAATTCATTACTCCTAACTAGTCCTAAGCAATAATTTAATTATTTTAATAACAGACACTTCAGTTAAAATAGTTGGGCATATGCCTATAATATAGCATATACTACACCTTGCCAGGGGTCTGAAACCTTTTTTCAGTGAAGAATTAAGATCATTTTTATACTTGTAAAAAATATTTAAGGAGCTGCTGGTGGTGGTGTACTGTTGTAGGAAGGAGGATGCGGTGGGGGTGGTACGCCCTGAGTGACAGTTTTTGCCTTTTATTGAGGGGCAACATTTTTGCAGCCTGGTGTTTTTTCTTGTAGGGGAGGGGGGGTGGCTAAAAGCTTTACCATGCCTGGGGCGGCATAAACCCAGGCTACTCTGCAAGGCAAAGGTGAATTAGGAAGCCAAATGCGTACATGACACCTGGAGTAATATTAGAAAATAAGTTTTTAATAGGTGTAATTAAAAGGACACATTTATTCATTTACAGAGTGGCATGAGTTGTCAGCCACTGTAGTCTGCAGTACATTATACAAAATATAGTATTTCCCTTGTAATTTCAAATTTGTCTTTTTTTAAGTTCGGGGATGTCGTCCAGGCAAAACAGTCCAAATGACAGAGGCTGAAGTCAGAGGACTTTGTCTCAAATCAAGAGAAATTTTCTTAAGTCAACCAATCCTTTTGGAATTAGAGGCTCCTCTTAAAATATGTGGTAGGTTTATTATAATTTCATGATATCCATTCTGTTCAGACTTTTCTCCTGTTTTTATAGTAGGACATAGCATTTCAAATAAAGAAGTTTAATATTGTTAATTAGTTAATTTATTGATTTAATTCTTATCAACCAAAAAGAGTGTCTTTGAAGTGTATCATTATACACAGGCTGTCTTCAAAATTGTATCTTTAAATGTACAAAAAATAATTCAAAGAAGGCCTTTTAAGTAGAATTTTTTGCAATGATTTTTTGCAAACATTTGAAGCTGACAAGTTTTCTGAAATATAAAATACAAAGAAAACAAGCAAAACAATCCCTTCATTATCATTAAATTTTTCAGGTTTACATATTAAGAACAAAGTTCCTAGTTTCCCAAGAATAGTGAAAATATAATTAGTCTAGCATTAAAAATAAACAATAAGAGGTATGTCTAATACTAATTTAATCTAAGTTGTTTACTATAAATATTGCAGGTGATATTCATGGCCAGTACACAGATTTACTAAGGTTATTTGAATATGGAGGATTCCCACCTGAGTCAAATTATCTCTTCCTTGGTGACTATGTAGACAGAGGAAAACAATCTTTGGAGACAATATGTCTTCTGCTGGCTTATAAAATTAAGTATCCTGAGAATTTTTTCTTGTTGCGGGGTAACCATGAGTGTGCCAGCATCAACAGAATTTATGGATTTTATGATGAATGTAAGAATAATACATTTTCAGTCAATTTTTATTAGTTAATCAATACAATTTAATATTTGTAGCAAATATTTTCTCAAATTAAAAAACTTATTTAGTTTCTTCTACATTAATTTGAATCCTTTGACTGCAGTACTTTCTCTGCATAATGCATTTTAACCCTTTAACTGTCGACGGCAGAAAATCAGCTGTCATACGCCTTTCTGTGGTATCAAGGCCAAAATCGGCCTCTAGCAAAATTATCATTAAAAATATGAATGATTTAATATATATATTCTTTAAGGGAAAATAACTCTAAATAAATAAGTTTGCTTTCTATTTCTGTTTCTATCTGTGTGTCAATGTGCTTTTATAAGGGCTTGTTTTGTGATTAATTGGTGTGAAATTTGCTCAATTTATTTGACTGCCATTATGTCTGATGCTGGAGATATTCCACATGCTTGGAATTAAGGTATTTGCTCTAGTTGTGATAGTGACATAGTAGTCAGATAGTGACAATTTTAGCCCTAAGCTTAGTCATATTGTTACAGATGAATTAGTTTAGGATAGGATGGAAATCAAACAGAAAAGACGAAGATTTGATTGCAAATACCTATCCTAAAGAAATTTAAGACATTTAAGTTTGTGTATGTTCTGGAGTATTAATTAATAAAAAATAAGTTTAATAACTTCAGTTGAAAATAAATTTTTTGAACTCATATCATGCCCTCACCCTTGTATTTTGTATGACATAAATTTGAAGGAACTGAATGAAAGAAATTTACTAAAATTACAATTTTCAAAATAATACATATAAATGGAAATTTTCTGAAAGAATATTCCTTCTAGTATCTCAAAATTTTGATTTTATGATATTTTAAACAATTCATGGAGTATTAGATTGGTCAAATTCAGAAGTTGAGTAGTAAAATTGTACTCACTCTCTAAAGGTCAAGATCAATATCAACATACATAATATAAAACCAAATTCTTGTCATACTATAAAAAGTCCTTTGTACTTTCAGAAAATGTATACCTATAAGGGTCTCTGAATTTATTTAGTATGGGATTTTGTCATTTTTAACTAGCATATGAAAATGCTATTAATGGCTCGACGCCACAGAAAAATGCACTTTGACATTTATGTAGTTAAGAAATTAACAGTTATTTTCCTCTTTTTAATGCGTTTAAATTCTTCTTTAAAAGAAAGCTTGTTTTTTTTAAAGTTTAAAAATATATTTTTTATTTAGAAATTTCAAATCATAATTTTCATTACCGACTCAGAAGACCCCATAATTTAGGCATATTTTGAGAGTGCAAATGCAGTGGTTTTTTATTGCCACTGACTGTGTCACTCTAACAGTACATGTTCAAAACCTATACCATTATATCTTTAAAAAAATTAATTTGTTAACTCAATATAGGTAAAAGGAGGTTCAATGTAAGGTTATGGAAAACCTTTACTGACTGCTTCAACTGTTTACCCATTGCGGCCATCATTGATGAGAAAATCTTCTGCTGTCATGGAGGTACATTTTTTACCTCTGTTGTTATAAAATGGGTTTTCTAAAAAATGTTTTTTGTTTGGTGGATTCCATTACAAGTGCATTCTTTTATTTCTTAGGAAAGAAGAAAATATTACAAATTTTGCAAGATGGTCATATTAACATTAAAAAAAAAACCACCTAAAAATGACTCCATACCAAGATGCATAACAAAAATTTATGTAGCACCACATTTTATGCAATTTATTCTAATTTAATTTTTGGACGTTGTGTCCACTTTTACATGGCATTCTCCTGTATCTGACTTGACAAAATTAATGATCAAACAGAAGTCAAACATTAAAAAATATACAGAGATCAAGCAACTTTTGATAGACTAATTCCTTTTGTTAGATTTATATAAAAATAATGTAAACCTTAAATGCAGATTTTCAACCTGAATTGATTACAGACCTGTTTACTCTTACGATTTTGGCGTACAATTTACGATTTTGAGGTATATAGATTGTATATACTGTATGTTTATTTTTTTACTATAAAGATAATGTATTGAACGATTTTGTGATGATGTTGTACGATTTTAGGAGTTTGAGTGTAAACAGGTCTGTGATTATTTTAAAGTAAAGGCTAATTTATATGGATATTTTCAAAGCTAATACATATTTTTTATTTATAATATTACTATCAAGTTATATTGATTTGTAAATCCCACTATAATAGTTTTTATTCATGTTATTTAATTGCGCTAAATTAAAATTAATTTTCACTTATCCCTTAAACAGGTTTATCACCAGATTTACAAACAATGGAACAAATCAGACGTATTATGAGGCCTACAGATGTCCCAGACACAGGTTACTTTTAGTTTTTTCCTAACCTCCCACACCACTAAAAACCACTAAATCCAATTTTGATGTGCCCAATAACTTGATAACTAACTCCTTAAAAAATATAATTTACCAGTGACTTACTGCTCCAATGGTCAGTACACATCATTTAATGTATATTAAAAAAATATTTATTTTTGTGCAAAATAGTTAGTTTTTACCCATAACCATGTTTTACAGATCTCCACTCCTATGAAATTTTCTGGTTGCATGGTATAATCCAATGTTTATCTTTTAAAAACAGTCCCTTTAAAGCAACAATAGTTTTCAGCTTTATTATACATTAGAAATGATTTCTACTTCAATTGTCATATTTCAGATGGAAGTTAATTTTTTAAATGATTAAAAAAAAAATTTTTTGGTGATACCTTTTAAATACTTCTAGTAGAGTTATATTGGAAAAAAGAACATTTAGAACAATTTAATTTGGAGACTCACAATATTTGTTTAGCATAGTCAGCTACAAAATTCTGCAAAATTGCTCTTCTCTAGTGCTTCAGTTTCTAAAACCCTGACCTTTATTTTTACTTCTTCAAATTGGAAGTAAGAATAAAGGATTGAATTTATTTTTCAATTCTTGCATCCAGCACAGCATTGTTCCTTGTCTTTTTGAGTGAGTTTATGTAATTTGGCTAATTTTCAGGTCTCCTTTGCGACCTGCTGTGGTCAGATCCAGACAAAGATGTTCAAGGCTGGGGGGAAAATGACAGAGGAGTGTCTTTCACATTTGGGGCCGATGTGGTCAGCAAGTTTCTTAACAGACATGACCTGGATTTGATTTGCAGAGCTCATCAAGTAAGTACCGTCTTCCCCTCTGGTTGCTGAAATAAAAAATTTAACCCAATTGCTCCCACATTGTTTTGACTGAATTGAAACTAAAACTAGATGTATGATACACTCTAAGTTTATCAATTACAACACAAATCATTTTCTAATAATTTTTATTATTGAACATAATTTTTAGTGTTATTTAATAAATTAAGCCACACAAAAGAAAATATTCATGGATGGAAAGGTGGATTAAAAAATTGCATCAATGTGGAGAACACAGTAACATCATTAAGTGAAAACCATCATGTTTAAAAAGATTTTAAAATGTGTCTTAGGTGGTTGAAGATGGATACGAGTTCTTTGCCAAGCGCCAATTGGTGACATTATTCTCAGCACCCAACTACTGTGGTGAATTTGACAACGCTGGTGGAATGATGTCTGTGGATGATTCCCTCATGTGCTCTTTCCAGGTAGGGTTTACAGTATTTCAGCATCCAACTTTGGATTAGATTATGTTGGAGAACAGTAATGGCAATGAAGATGCTGAACTGAACTTGCAAATATTGAAGTTGATTGATTTGGGATTTTCTTTTGGACATGTTTTGAGTGAGTAATTGAAGAATTAGACCTCACTTAAATGTTTATCTTAAATTTAATTATCTCAAACATTCGAAATGGGTGGCCAGGTAGCACAGCCTGTAAGACAATGGGACAAGTCAGCTAATGGTCTGGGGCTCAAATTTTAGCAATACTTAATGCCCAGACTTAAGTGGACCTGCTAGAAGAGTTTTCAAGCACATTCCTAGAGCTGAATGGGCTAGCATGCATTTCCGCGAAGCTGGCTGGACTTAATTTGCTTTTAACTTGACAGTGGATTGGACTGACATCACCTTTGAACCCCCAATGGCCAACCTCAACATCTGTTGCCTGGAATGTCATTAATGTATAAGCCAGTGGACTTAACATGCTTAAATGGCTGGAATAAAAAGCAAAAATGGCACTAATGGTACCATAAAATAATACGTACATGAAAAACGGAACAATAAAAAACAAAACTCATTGGAAATAAAACAGATATTGCTATTGAAAAATTTAAGTTAATCCTTTTTTTTTTTCTCACTAAAATCATTAAAAACTTTTCACCAATAGCATTTATTAAATGTTCTCCATATCATTTTTCTTTTGTTTCTGACCAGATCCTTAAACCATCAGAGAAAAAGGCAAAGTATCAATATGGAGGGCTAAACTCTGGCCGTCCGGTAACGCCTCCTCGGGGACCACAACAACCTAAGAGCAAAAGCAAGGCCTAATTATCAGGACAGTGCCTTTAGATGGAACAAACAGGAGTAGATGAGTTTTTTTTACATATTCATTTTGATCACACCCCCAGAAAAATACACAAAATAATTTTTAAAGACTAATCATATTTTTTAAATTTTGTATATGCTATGAAGGAGATGGGTGCCCTTATATAATTCCTTCGATGAATTATTTCAAAATGACTGTGAATTTTATTTGTGAATTTCTGCTAGGTCACTTTAATGTACTTGGAGGCTTTATTGTAACAAAATCTTTATGAAATAAAAAAATACTGTTATGATCTCTAAAAATAAAATTCTGCATTTAACAAAAACCATGACTTAACAATGGGACTAATTTCTTGTAAAATTCTTAATGACTTAAAACTTGTCTACTTCTGTACAGTATGAATTTTTTTTTTTAGAATTAAGAGATACAAATGTGCAAGAATTTCTTTCATTTGTTGTCATCTTGTTCGCTTCAATTTTGCCATAGGGTGCATCGTTCTTAATGTCTTTCACAACATAAATGATCTATCAGATTTTTTTTTATCCAATCCAGTAATGTCGAATTACCTATTGGGTAAAGAATTTAACATAAAACTTACTTAACACTTGAATGCCTCTGAGTTATGTTCATTACATGGATATGATTTTAGGAGAGTTTAACCATAAAAGCTTCTTAATATAATATTTTCTCCATTGCTATTTGGGGTTAGACTCCAAATGACTTTGTAGATGAGTTTGCCAAGAAAATTTGAAATATGTGGTAAAAATACTATGATTGCAATAAACTTAAAAAGTAGATTAAAGAGAAAAATTGTGTGTGTGTTTAATGATTAAAATATGGTGAAGTTTCATTTATGACATAAAATTTTGCTGCAGTATGCCTTCTACTGCAGACTAAAAACATATGTTTAAGATTAAACAAAAGCATGATAATAACTAATAACATACTCTTTTTAATAATAATTGTAATAATAATGTTACTTCTACAAACAGAAAAGCTATAGGAGCAATGAGCCACACAAAAAAATAACTTAAGGAAAGTGGAAACATGAATGAAATATTTAGCTCTTAGTAATAAAGAGCCAAGTGTTCTTATCTACAGATGTCTTGATTAACACTGCAACAAATCAGTTGGTATAATTCTTCTATCTCCACTAACATGTTTTGTTTTTGCAGAATAATATAAATGTGTGATTAAAATAATTGCTGCAATTGTAAATTTAGCAGCGAGATGCAAATTTTAAAGAGATTCATTATTATAACAGTAACAGAGCTTGGTTTAGCTTTGAAAAAAAAAAGTTAGAATTTATTTGTGCATCTCAATATCATTTTGTTAAAACCTTTTGTGATACTATGATTTTAAATTGTCTTGATATCCAATAAAATATTTAGAAAATAATACTTTAAAAAAAACTTTTTATGATGTTATTAGATGTTTGGATTAAAATCAACATAATGTTTCAACATTGAGCAATCACATTCATGTTAAGTATCAGATACTGTGGCTAATGAGCAATGAAAGTAAAGTGTGTTTTATTTTTTAGAAACAAGTCAGTATAAATATTCAACATACGCCAACAATTATTTTCATAAATTAAGAAATCTTTAAGCAATAATGGGCTTTGTAATAAAACAAAAAATCAATTCTTTATCAAGTCTATGTCAGATTCTGTAGTCTGCTTGGATAGCCTTTGTTTCGTTTGTTACCACAGATCATGGGCTACCATTTACAAGCCTAGACTCTATGAGGGTATTTAAGTTATGAAGAATTTTATCATCTACTTTTAATTAAGTTGTACTACCAATTTTTATTCACCTCGATTTAATCAACAATGTATTCACCAAAGATTAAGTCATCAAGTCATCCAGTTTGGATATTGATGTTCTCTATTTTTGTACTTCTTTGTTGAATTATATTTTGAAGTTCATCTTATGACCCTTGGCTGTTTGTTTGACATATTTGCTAAGTTAAGTTGATGTTATCAATTGGAGAAGCATTTTGTAAAAAAAAAAAAAAAAAAAAAAAATTAGATATAAAAAAATAAAAAACATCTTTTTCTTCTAAACTTTTTTTATTGGCATTACATTGAGAGCACATCTCATCATTACTGTTGTGTAGCTGTGATGAGATCTTTTCTATTTACATATTATGATAGAATAATTTCATATCCTGTGGTGTCTCACTTCATGTTAATTAGGTTCAACTGCTAAGTCACTAACTGTAACCGATTTGGTTTTGACTTGATTTTCTTAATAAATTATAACTGAAATTTGACTGGACTGGTATTTTGATATACTTTGATTAAATATCAAGATGTCTTAAAAGATAAAGCAACAAACTGTGTATTTGTCGTAGTTGGAGGTTAGATACTTCTTTTTTTTTTTTTTTTTTTTATTGTTTTTTTTATATTTTTGTTTTTTTTTTTTTTTTTTTTTTTTTTTTTAATGTTTGTCTTAAATATCTGCATTATTTTATTTATTCATAAGCATATATCCCTATTGAAACATATATTTAATGATCAAAAGAACAAAATTATTTTGTAAATTTCAACCTGATAATCTGTAAATAATTATGTGTATTTTTTTTTTGTATAATCTTAGATCTGAACAATTATGGATTGCAATACTGTAGCTTCATTTGAAATAAATGCATGTCACAACCTTTGAAACCATTTTTTAAAAGCCCTTTAAAACTACTTTTTGCAATAACTATTGCTGAAGCTATTAATATTAACTTGATGTCAAGGAAAAATATTGCTGAATAAGGTAATGAATGTAATCATACATTTAAAAATGACTTATTAAGTAAAAGATATCAGGAGTAAAATAAAATATTTCCCAAGTAACCAATGCCATTCTACACTCAATGCCATTCTACACTCTTTGCATAGTGAACTGTGTGATACGTTTTAATTGAGGTGAGGCTGAAAAATATTTAACTTTAAAAATAAATTTAAACTTTAAAAATAGTTAACTTTTTTTTTTATTCTTCAAAGGTTATTTAGTTATATTTATAATTGATAACTTAATTAAGCTGTATAGTACATTGAAGCTAGGCATTCTTAATGAAAATGAGCTCAGTCTACAGCTAACAGGAACACAGTGTACTACTATCTACAAGTCAAGGGTACTCATAATTTTAATTATATTGATAATAGTATTTCCCTAATTTCCTTCGTATCAACTTTCTTGTAGGATTCAATAATCTTGATATTTGTCTATGTCAGTGGTTCTCAACCTTCCTAATGCCGCTACTCTTTAATACAGTTCCTCGTGTTGTGGCGACCCCAACCAATAAAATTATTTTTGTTGCCCCTTCACTATGTGTTGTCCGATGGTCTTAAGCGACCCCTGTGTCAGGGTCATTCAAACCCCAAAGGGGAAGCGACCCACAGGTTGAGAACCGCTGGCCTATGTAATGAAAGAGCTTGGTGCGACCCTGTAATGAAAGGGCTTGGTGTGACCATATATGCATAATGATATTTGACTACATAGTTCATCTTACTGAAGCCTGTTTTTTTTTTAATTTAAAATTTTAATCTTGTATGATTTTTAATTTTGTTTAATTTTTTTTTTAGACAGCTGGATTGTATTATGTTTCATGACACAAACATAACTATGCAACCTCATCTAGATGTTCTTCCATCAAGCTTGATCTTATAAAATGGCTCAGTTAATGATTGTTTTTACTTCTTAAGCTAACATAAATGGATGAGACAGGGAACCCATGTCCATAATAGATGTTATGATTTAACTCAATAAACCATCATAAAATGTTGGTTGAACAGGAAGTAGACTAAAAAAATGGCTAGGTTTGTTTACTTAATCTCAGATCATATTAAATATTACAATTAAAACATGGTATACTTCATGCTTTGCTTATAGCTTTATGTTAAGAACCTAACTTAATATTGACCCTAAGAAGTGGTTACAACCTTCATTCACCCCATGATGGACTTATTGCATTGGCCTGGGGTGGGTGATCTGTATGGTACATTCACTCTTGAACCGATGATGAGTAGTAAATCATGTTGGAAACAATCTTAACACATAGGTTTTTTTTTTTTTAAATGTCAATGTGGGATCAAAGTGTGCCACTTTTGTAAATTCATCCTGTATTTTGTATCACATCAAGTCCAACATGTTTCAGCTCACAGACTTCACTGTGTCACAGTTTTTTTTCTAACAGACACAGGGAGACACAAAAAGAAATTTCATAGGAGTACAACAAAATTTCACTTTAATTCAAAGAGATTTTGAGGGTTTATGGTTGCCATGGTTTCCTAAAGTGAAGGATACATCCACTAATTAATATATTTTTTTTAATGGGAGCCCTTTTCAGATTGTACCTGCTGTTGCAATGGTTCCAATCAATATTTAAAATACTTTCATATTAATAATAAATGACTGTAAAATTTAGATTTTAAACATTTCAGATTCTGACTGGACTGTTTTCATGTAAAATGTATACATTTAATTCTAATTCTCTCTGTAACATAAATTCATAACATTTGACTTTTTTCAGCACTTTTCAACCACATTGATCAAATTTTTTTTTTAAATTTAGGAGAATAATAGTTGGGGAAAATAAATTATAAAATAATCCATCTTATCATAAAACATAAGCTTGTGGATGCTGCTTTTCACTGCAACTATATTTTTTAAAACATGCCTCTAAAAATAAATTATTAGTTATGTAATATCAAAAAGGTTTGGAAACAGGAGATACATTAATTTAATCTTTTGTCATTAAAGCGCTTTGAATGAAGCTAATCATTAACATAATAATGGATGTTTAATAGATATAACCATTCAATAATGTATTAATATAATTAAAAATATAAATTTGTTTTGTGTACATTTCTCTGAAAAGCATTTTTAGTTTACATAAGTGAATACATGAATTTTCAAATATTAAATTAAACACAAAAACATTCCTTTTTTTGTTGATCTCTTCAACCCCCACTTCCCTGTTTCTTGTTTTTTATGTACAGTTGAAGGGAATTTCATTACCATATAACAGCCTTCACAACTCAAAATGTAAGGTGGGCCGTTTATGAAAAACTTGTGCGAGCCGAAAGATAATGGGACAAGGGGGGAAGCTATTAAGAAAATAATAATAAAGAATATTTTATTACTTCGTGGATCGCAAAGTGGACGGGCCGAATGTTGTGCATGCCTGCCACATAATTTAAACTGTCATTAAACAATAAGTAAAGGAGAGTGGGAGAAAATTATTATTAGCTAAAAGCCAGCTGGGTTAAGCAAAAAAAAACTTGTGTGAAATAAATAAAAGTTTTAACAAGTTACCGCCTTCATCACACAATTTTATTGGAGCAGATTACAATATTTAAAGCAAAATTGAAAAAGACCATCATATCTCTGAATACTTTTCTTTGTAAAATATAATCAAACAATGTAATTTTCAATAGCAAAATGAATGTGATCAATCACTGACTCATAAAGTTGTTCCATTTTAGATTTTAAAAAATTTGTCCCACTATTTCTTAAACAGATGCTGTAAATTAGTGCCACATAATTTAATTTGTAACAAGTTTTAAGTAAGAATGACAAAGAAGTATTTCATTTTGTAGATTCAGATATGTGCAACATTTATAAATTCACACCATGTTGCAGTGCATAAAAAAAGTGTATAAACATTCAGCAGTGAGCAGACAAGTTTGAGCTAAAGGCTAGTTTGCTTGTCACATTGGCATTGGTGTTTAAACTTTGATCCTAGAAATATTTGCTCCTTAAAAGGAGAAACAAATATCTCATTAAATCTTTGAGGAAATCAACAGTAAATAAAATATTTGTTTAACTTTTCAACTTATTCTTTGAGGTACATTGTTATAATTTAAGTCCTTAATAAAGGCAGCTAGCATGTTACACATGAATAAAAGCTTTTAGATATGAGTTATATTTCTAGCATTTATGAATTAAAATTCTGACTGGTATATTCTACATTAGTACTTCTCATTTTATCCTTAATGATTGAACATTTTTTTTAAATATATCATTTTTGTTTGTGATAATTTATAAATACAATGAAATATTGGTTACACTCTGAAGAATGTCCTTTATTAAAAGTTGTTACATTATTAAAAATATACAGGGTGGTGTCATACTAGGCGTAGTGTAAACAAACATAGATTTATAAAAGTATTCATTAAACTACTTGCAGTTGAGTTTTTAGCTACATAATATTAAAAACCATTACACAAACCAGCATTAGTCTATAAACTACACAAAATTAAAACATGATGATATAATAAGAGTAAGTCATTCAGATCACAAATTTTAAATAAAATCACTTGCCCAGGAATGCTAAAAGTTTTTTTTAATGTATCCAATATTGTATACATTCAATATATTAACTTAATAAGTTGCATTCCCATTGCAAATATCTATAAAAATCACAGTTTGTAACAGTGCAAGTCATTTAAAATCATAGCAACAAAGATTGATAAATTATACGGTTTGATTTGAAAGTTGTATCATGTATCCAATAAATAAACAAAGTTTTTTTAAAACAAAAATAATACATTTTAAAATAATATGATTCTCAGCTGGACATTTCAATTTTACAAGTAAATTACAAAAGTCACAACTGCAATATCGGTTTGGAAGCTCACTTATCAAAGAAAGACTTTTGATCTTAAGAAGTAAACAAAAGATTATAGAACTCAGGCTCAAAGAAGTTGCAGTCCCCTTTCATCATGATATGAGTGATTCGGTCGGGGTTTATTTTATACTTGTAGGTTGTGAAGTACTTGCCGTTTATGAACACCTGAGTGAAGAAATGCCAACATGGGATAATTGCAAGCTACCAGAGTTTACCTTCATACTTTCTTATGTTAACATTTGGTGAATCGTTAACAAGGTCATCCATTCATTACAAATTGTTATATCTGCAACAAGCAATAACTCTACTTCTACATACTTTAGTTTTATTGTCAGTTATCTTCCAACTCGCTGCATTATATTTTGTGTCGGTTAAACCTAAATTGATGTCAACACTGACTATTTTATCAGCTTATAGTGTTTGGGATATTTCTATTCAAAAGTAAAACTATGCTGATGTAAAATTAATCGAATCAGCTGACCAAAATAACAGGCAGAATAACATGATTCATAGGAGCTTTCTTCAACCAGATCAAATAATTGTGCAAAAAACCTATTGAAAGTTCTAGTAAAATCATAAAATTATTAAGAACATTTATTCCCAACTTGGTGCACTTATCAAAGCTAAGCTGTCCTCTAGGAAAAAAGAAAATAAATACAAAAAGCTATCAAAAAAAATACTGATGCCTCTAACATGCAGAAACAATCGCCTGTAATTATCATCAACTTAACTTAAAATAAATTTACAAAATACTACAAACACTGGTGTCTCACTAAACGTTTCAACCTAGACTAATTCATTTGTCATGTTAGTAATGTTATTTATTTATATTTATCCAAGCACTCTTCCCTGTAACTCCTAAACTCTATGATAAGACATAGGGCAGGTCTAAGGGACTCCAACATAGAAATGGATTCTAAAAAGGGCTGCTTGGTGAGTCAAACAGGTAGGAAACCACTGATTAAGAGTTCTCAAACTTTTGGAATTTATAACACACCCCCCCCCCCATGTCTAAAAATTCAAGTGCATTTTCGGTAATGCAAATGGTATCTAGTATATGCTTTTTGTTATTGGCTTATTTATTGTTACAACTCTTTGCATCATCTGGAGCAAAGTAATGATGCATGAAACAAAATTTGAGAATCACTGATCTAAGGACTAAGCCATCCTTAACTTACCTTAAAAACATCAGGCAGTCTCAAAATATGGATTTCAAATTTATCCTCAGGCTCAAATGGAAAGTTTTTCTTTTCTTTTTGCTTATTTTCCCAGTCGCCATCCTTCAGAGTTTTCAAAGCCACCTCTGCACTTTTAGATTTAGCATTGAAGTGCAGGGCCACATCACAACCATAGTCAGGGTGGTCACCACATTGAAGGTTGACAGCAAAGGTGTCAGATTTCTTTTTTGGTGTTCCAATCACAGACACCCACGCACCTGGCTGAAGAGGGCCTGGAAGACTGTCTACAAAGGGTTGTTCCTAAAGAAGACCAAAATAAAAAAATCAATATGGAAAGCTATTTAGTTTTTCAAAAGATTTTTTACTTTAAAAAAAGGAAAAATTGCATGTAGCGACATGGATCATCAAATTAATGAATACTTATTCTCTAATGAGTTTTGTAAGTAATGAATGGAATGAAATCATTTGAAAATAAGTATTGGTATTTTCTTGAATATTTTCCACCTAGAATTCCTTTTCTGAATTATTGAACACTTAACAAATAAAGGTGTTATACAGAAGTGGCCGACCCGGCGTGCCCCATGAAGTCAATTACGTCAAATATTGCGACCAGCTGATGCCTGATTTATCATCAATAATTTTATTTGTTTTTCATTCAATGGACAGAGCAATCAATGCTAAAAAGATATCGAGAGAAAGTATACACAGGGAAATCAATATCACATGAGTTGAGTTATATTCTGTTTGGTATTTACCATTTCATTATGTGCATTAAGAAGAGATTTGTTAACAGCATGTAGTAGGTTTTTATTTTAATAAAAGGTGTAAGGAAATGCTGCCCATGAACACTTTACTCGCCATCAAGGTGGCACGTCAAGCCTTTTGGATTGGCCACCCCTGGTGTAATAAATGTTATTGACCCGAATTTCTTCTCACTGAGGCCTAGAACTTAAGTACTCACAACTCTCCTGAGCAGCTTGACCTCATAAATGTGAGCCTCTCCACAAACATTGATCCCTTTAATTTTTTCTATCTCCCCTCTTGATACAAAGCTGGTAAACTGTTTACCATTGACGTAAATCTGCAACAAAGATAGAACTTATAAAATCTCTTATGATAATTTCTTTTTATTTAAATAACATGTAAATTTTACTCCAAAAGGAAATAATGTCTCATACTTTGCGTAAGCAAATGGGAGGGTTAACAGAAAATACTTTTTAGGCAGGAGTTGTTTAACATGGCAGACTTTCACTTTTAATTTTATATCTTTTAATTTTTTCATCACAATTATTCTATAGTGAGATAATATGGTGGTTCTCAGTGGTTCATATCTTTCTTGTAAATATATATTTTTATTATTTCCCCTAGAATAGACATTTGCAGATGTTAATTTAAACCAAGACCATAAAGCACTAGTATTGTTTATATAGCTTAATCTTTGGTACCTTGAATTTATTAGATTTGTTAACAATCTCCACCTCAAAAGGCAACAATTCAAGCATAGGGTTAGGAAGAGGATGTCTTTCTTCTTTCTCCCAGTTGCCATTGACCCGGCTGTTAAGGACAACTTCATGTTGGTCACGCCGGGGGTTAAAGTGTAGTGCAATGTCATCCTCAAGGGATGTTCCATACAGAAGGTTCACAGAGAATCTTAAGTAAAAAAAATGTAATCTTAAATAAGTATAACACAATGAGTAGAAGTTAAATTTTTTTTCACTAAAACTAAAATGACTTCACAAAACTGAATTTTCTTCATTTTGAGCCTTCAAATTCTCTTGCATATGAACATAGTTTTACTGTAAGCTAGAAACATAGATGCGAAATTCAGGTACTAAAAAAAATTGGTAGCTGAGACTACTAAGTATATCAATCCAGTTTGCATTTTTGTTTTATAGTGATAAATACCAAATGCTTTGTGTTATAAGTTATAGCCCAATGGTAATGCAAATAAAGAAAGAAATATTTGAATTTTAATAATAAATATTTAGAATTTCTTGAACTACCTGTTGCCTTCTGGAAAAAAGAAACCTTTAACAACAACAAGGTCACTCTTCTCAAGTCCTGATGGAATATCTTTGATATAGTCATTTGGCTGAAGACGGACGAGGGTATTCATTAACAATTAAACTAATGATGAACATATAAGTTAAAAAAACAAGGAAAATACCCAAGAAGGAAAAATTAAGAACAAAAACCTTAAACAGGAAAGTTAAAAACACTCTAAATAACACTTAATATGGTATTTTTTTCAATTTCTTTAAAAGAAATTAATTTTCAACCTTTAGATATCCACTATATAACAAGCAATTCATAAATTTAAAAAAAGAAACCAACAAATATGTTTGGCATTGAATGTCGATTCTAGGCTGCATAACAAATATGATTTGCCTGATTCGTTGAACTCTGCACACCCCCCCCCCCCCCCATCACTCTCTAACATTAACCAGTCTGCAAGGGTTTGAAATTGAAAGGGAATTTCAGAAAGAAAAAAGGGGGTTACACCGTGTGCAGTCAAAGATATACAAATTCATACACAAATAAGAGTCTTGTTGAATAGGAAGTTACCAAAGGGTCAATGAACTCAACGTCCATGATGGTCACATCTCCACTGATGTCCAGGTACTTCACGTCTTCAGGAGGGATACGGAATTTGTACGATGTAAATAGTTTTTCTTCAACATAAATCTGTGCATATATACAACTTGATTGTAGTTAAAAGATATTCTGAGATGCAAAATAATATTTTCATTTTCAATATTATTGTATATTTGTATTCATGACATATTGTCCCTTCAAATAAAAAGTTACATGAAAAGTTATGTCTTTAAAGAATATAAGAAGTAAATGATAGTTTACAGTTTATGATTTTATACTGAACAGCTCGAGCTGCTATTATCTTTCAAAAAGACAACTCTGAGAAAATATAAAATCATTTATAATTTAAAAACATACCAGTGTATCTAATTTAAAATTGTAATTTATAAATCTGTCATCCTCAAAATATTGGATTCAAGTACATAGTTTATAAAATCTGATTGATAAAACGTATTTAAATTTAATGTTCCCACTGTCAAAATCTTACGTTGAATTTTCCATCCCATGACACAAATAGAACATCAAAGAATTGCCCCTTTTTGAAAGGAAACCACCCCTGTCCTCTTTCCTCAGCTTGCCAATTTCCGACTTTTGAGTTGAGAACAACATCCTCCTGGTCCTGCCGTGGGTTGAATAAAATACCCACAGTGTTGCCATCCAGATCAGCATTGAAACTGATAGCAAATCTGTTTTACAAAGGAAAATACATAGAATTTAGTTACATCCTTATATTATTATTTTATTTACTTTATTTTGTCATCAAGAAATAAAATATTTACCTGTTAGCATTATCATTGACAAGTCCTCTAACTCTGAATGCCTTACCAGGCTTCAAGCCACCAGTTATTTCACCTTTAAATGGAAGATGCTGTCGAAAGAACAAAAATTACTTTCAACAAAAAAAAAACAAACAAAAAAAAGTTTAACAATGAGCAAAGTCAAGTTGCTTTTCCTTTAAAAAGAATGTTCTGAAAATATTCCTGACCAAACTATGTTGTTTTTTGCAGCCTGGAGATAGACATGACAACACACTAAAGATAAGGGCAGGGCATAAATTACTTTTGTACAATTGACTTTTATGGCTTGTTGTCTAGGATACAAGTGAAATTAATGTATGTGTCTTATCAAAAACTTAAAATTTATAACTGGTAAATCGCAATCATTGGGGTGAAGATTTTAATATTAAAAATTAGATGCATTAGATAAATTATTTCTTTTGGAGGGAGTTCTACCTTTACATTTCTGAACACTATTTATTATTTTTTTTATATTTTAGATTGAAAGAGAGTGAGAAATAATTCAGAAGATTCAAATGACACAAACTAGTGTAAAGAATAGGCGTGGAGCTCTAAAAAAAATGAAAAACAACAAACAAACAAAGGGAGCAATGACAATAAAAGAATAACAAAGTTCAAACTGTGTGAAGGAAATAGCAGAAAAAGGTATGTGTAAGGTATGTGTAGTCTTGAAATAGAAAGACAGGACAATAAAGGCTGAATGTTTCAGCTAAGCACCTATCAAAGTGACAGTCCCTTATGCACTTCTTGCAAAAAGGAAAGGAGATCCTACAAATTATGCACATATTTTTTCTCTACACACATTTAGCGTATATCATTTCCATTAAAAAATATAAACCTCCTTTCATTTACACAGAAAAATCATAAATTGTTGGCTTACAGTTTCATTACAATTATTTATCTGAACAAAACAAAGCCCATAAAGATACATCTAAATAATTAATATTATAAAACATAAGCAATTTGATAAAAATTAGTTAAAATCAATTCAAAACCGGATTGAAAATTATTTTCTTTTTTGTGGGATGATAATAATTTTTTTTTTTAAATCATAAAAAACAACTGTTTTCGTTTATTTAAAGTGTACTAAATATGTATCAACAATTTTTTTAACAAACTGACTTCATTTCTGCCACCCAAAAATATTTGATTTAAATACCTCTAGCAAAATAAGGCTTAAACTTTATACTCACTGAAGGATTTTGGATGGTAGCCTCATAATACTCAGCCCCCGAACAAAGTCTCATATATCTGACCTCTTGGAAAGGCAGGCGATGGTTATACTGTATAAAAAACTTTCCATTGACCATGACTGAGTAGGCAGTTGGTCCAACATTGATTCGGATGGTAAACTTGGAGCCATGAGCAAAAGGAAAAAATGGGATGTCCAGCTCTTCCCCTTGCCAGCCACCGTGGTATGAATTTCTGACAACAGTCTTCAAGAAAATGCGAGGATTGAAGTGAAAAGCTATGTCACAACCTTCGTCATCATCTTTTTGTAAGTTGAGGCTAAATCTGAGAATAAATGTATATTTTTAATAAGCAGACTGGAAGTACACTTTGATTTGACTTAAAATAAATGAAAATTTTAGTAAAATTCTTATACCTTTCAAATATTGTGTAATTTATTTCATGTTGACGGTATTAAAATATATTTTAGAATTTTAAGTTAAAAGACTTAGCCATGAAACTCTCCGCTTATCAAATAAATCATTTTTAATTTACTTAATAAAAGGAAGAAGAGTGGTTTTGGCCAAATTATCTCCATAATTGAATTCATGAGTATTTTAAAATCCACCTTTATTACCTGTCTGATCCCTCTGGCACTCTACCTCTGACTACAATATTTGCACCTACGCTGAGGCCACCAGGTATGTAAGTGAAGTCAGGGTTATGCTGAAAAAAATTATTTTCTAATCCAACAAGAGAAATTATTACACACATCTTATGGCGATGTTTAAAATTGAATAAGTTTTGAATTGCTCCAATATTGAGGCTTAGGAAAGCAAGTGATACATTTTTATGACTTTGGGAATAAATCTGCATTTTAACTTATTTCTACTGCATTCACATTACAAGTGTCCAATTAACTGTATCCATTTACTAATTTATTTATGTACTTATATAAACTATATGTCATTATCATGACAATTTCCGGTGGGCATAAATGACAAAACATTATATTAATTCAATTATATTAAATAACCCTTTGCTATGAGATTCTCTCACTTTTTTGGGGCCGCCCTGTATTAAATACTTTATCTTAAAATCATTAATAGTTATCACATAGACATAGACAAATTAAATAAATTTAACAAAATATGTACTTACAAACTTGGTTTTTCTCAGCACCATTTTATTTCACTGTGGGTAAAAGAGAGTACTTAAAAAAGAATTGACACACATTTAAATTTGTATTTATAATATTAAAAATATAATAAGTAAGCTATAAGAAGAATAGCGCTGTCTGGTATCCAGTTACTCCCAGCATCATCCCACCACACACATCATCTATTATATCATTTTGGTAATAAACATAATTAAAGTGCAGTAAGGGTGGGTCACCTGCTTCAACCCATATGCCAGACCCCTGTTGTATTACTTTAGTGAAGGACAATGGAAATGAATGGCTCCCAATCAAAGGAGATAGAAAGACTTACAAGTCATTGAAGACTTAAGATGTTAGGAGACTTACAGCAGACCTGTTTACTCTTACGATTTTGGCGTCCAATGTACGATTTTGAGGTGTAAACATTATATACCGTATGTTTATTTTTTACTTTAAATATAAGGTATTGAACGATTTTGCGATGATATTGTACGATTTTAAGAGTTTGAGGGTAAACAGGTCTGTTTCAGATGAGATTAAAACTGCTATTTATTTATTAATCATATGGTCATTATAGTTGTTTGTAGAGTTATTTCCTCTCGTGATTTGACTTTCAATTCATCTAACCAAGGGTTAAAACATTAAATATTGCTACAAAAATAGTAGAGTGGTGATGGCTTTTTATAAATCACTTTTTTTTTTTTTATTAAACTTTTTAAAAATGCCCAAAACATTTTTCTATGGAAAATTGAGTTTAATTTAAAATTGTAAATTTTTGTTGGTTGGGGCCATCCATAAATGACGCCTCACGACTAGGAAAGGTGGGGTGGAGCACATATTTTTGTGATGATGTGTGAAAAAGGGGGGGTGGGGTTAAGCAATGTAACATCCCATTTAAAAACCTAATACAGGTGAAGTAAGTAATTTAATATACAAGGGTTGTAAAGGACAGCAGTGGATAGGGGGATTTTTTAGATTGAGGAGTTCAGAGGTTTGCGAAATTATATTTGAGACCTTTGAGGGGAGGCGGGGAGGGTTAAAAATCAGCAAAATTTACCTGAAGTCATTTATGGATGGCTCCTTATTGGTTGTTTTACCCCTTACAAGATTTATCATTGTAATGAAGCTAAATCAAGATTGGTGAATAAAACCTGCATTCCACAAGGTCCTGTCTTGCATCATAAAACTTAAATTTAACATTTAATGAAAGATTTTTTGAAGGCAGCATGTCCTTTGCAGAGTTAAAGTTTTTACTTGCTTTTTCAAAGAAAACTTGTTTATCAGCTAATAAATGAGCATGAAAAAATTTAAATAAAGACTAGGGTTCAAAAAATGTCCAATGCTACAATACAACTTTTACAGGAAATGTGAGAACTGTTTAAGTCATTTTGTTCTTTTAATTTCTTTATCATAATGAGTGACCTTTCTAAGAACATTTCAGAATTTTTGGTCATATTTTCAGCATTAAAAAATGATCAATTATCTTTTATACATTTAAATAAAAAGACTTTTTAAAAAAGTACTATAAAAAGCCACTGTTCTGAATTTTTTAAAGATTATTATTTTGAATTGATAAGATACAGATAAGTGGTTTTCAAAGTTTTTACACACACTGACCAGTTAATATAAAATATAAGATTAATACATTTTATAATATTAACTGCAAAGGCAAAAATATAAAGTTAAAGGAACATCTTTTATTAGGCCTAAGCATTTCATGTTTTAGATACTTCATATTCATACTTAAAAATAGATCTAGTGGTGTTACTACTGTTACAGTCTCCTAAAAACTATGGACATGGGCAAGGTTAGCTACTATTATTAACCTACTAGTTTGTCAAACATAGTTATAATGTAGCAGTGTGAAATGGATAAGTAAAATTAAAATAATATTATTATTTATATAAATTATAAATATAACATTATGTTTTATTAGTAACTAAATAGAACTACTTGATAATAGAAAAAAAATTAATGAAATGAATTTACCTGAATTGGACCCGGCTAAACAGAAGTAAAGATATTCAGTAAAAGTAGTAAAGTAAAGTAATAGTAATGAATCAGAACTAAAGGTGACTAATAAACCAAATAGCTTTCAAGTTCAATCTGAATCTCCAATTAAAATTAAAATTTACACTACTTTTTAAAGCCAACACCAATGCTTCACCTGGATCGTGTAGCCTAATTATAACTTAAATTAAACGCAACGCAAGCGTTTCTGCTCAACTCATACAACTAATCGGAGAAAAATAGTGTAAATTGTATGCAATGTAAAGTGAAATAAGGAGTAGGCCCTACGTTCACTGGGCACCGTCTTTAAGATTTATTACTGTGGTTGGATTTAATAACGTACACTGATAAGTTCTGACACTCAGCACTGTAAGTTAGTAGGCCTACGTTGTGCCTTAGTTGCACGGACCAGTGAATACTTGCAGGCCTAACCTTTTATGGTTTCTTGCAAGGATAGGTGCCGGTCCCAACAAGGAAAGGAACCGAACAGCCCTTCTTTTTATAGAATTTTCGTCACTTGGCCTGGTGGTGGTACAGAAAAGAAAAGTAAACAATCATGTGCCGATATTCTTCTTGACAAGACTACGACTATGTTTATTTAGCCCAATATTATTGTAGTTTAGTATTATTATTAGTATTATAATTAAAAATTTTAATAGTTGTACTTAAGCAGTGGTGGACTGGGGAGTTCAAGCGGCCCGGGAAAAATCAAAGCGGCCCGGGAAAAAAACAAAGTGGCCCTATCCTCATGACTTTTATTGTTATTACATCACCGGTCCTAGCGGCCCATCGGGAATCTTCCCGGTGTCCCGGCGGCCCAGTCCACCCCTGTACTAAGTCTAAATATATAAGCTTAGGCTTAGGGCTATAGCCATGTAATGGCATATTATGGACTATGATATCTAATTTAAATTTATGCTTTACTTTAATAAAATGTGTTGCACAATCTTTAAATCAGAGATCCCCTTTCCAGTCAGATGAAGCCCACTGATTCCTACTTAAATTTCTTTTTCTAATGCATAAATAAGTAGGCCTATATTATAATTTTTTTAAATTAAATTTTTCTTTTTTTTTTTAATGTTGGCGATCTCCACTTGTGGATGGCAAGGCTTGAACTTGGCTTACTTGCGTCCTTTTTGGAGACTTGTAGGAGCGTAGGCTACTGTGGTAAGGAACGAAGGTGAAGGGTCTTATTCAGCCGCTGGCACTGTATACCCTACATGTCCTTGTGGGTGGTCAAGCGTGGTGTGGGTTTTCGTTATGTGAATATGCGTGCTGAGGACTGAGGATGACTTGCTCATGCTGGCTCCATCTGTCAATATATATATATTGTCCCTTTACTTTAAAAACTGCTCTCAATTAAATCCTTAAATAATATCCTCAATTTAATCCTGCCAACGACGCCAAAAACTTTAACCGAGTGGCACGTCCGGCCCTACGGTTGCTGGCGCCCCGAGCAAGCTTAACTTTGGCGCCCCTTTTAGTTATAATCATATACTTTTTTTGCAAGGAAAAAAACTAGGGTTTATGTAGCCTATTCAGTTCATTACCTAAGCTGTTTTTTTTTTTTTTTTTTTTTAACTAATAGACAATATTGCTGATGACAGTAGGCCTATATACTATATTAAGGAAAAAAACTAGGGTTTATGTAGCCGATTCAGTTCATTACCTAAGCTGTTTTTTTTTTTTTTTTTTTTAACTAATAGACAATATTGCTGATGACAGTAGGCCTATATACTATATTGCCTATAAAAAATTAGCCTACCGATGAAAATTTGTCTCTTCTAGCCTTTAGATCCGCAAATATTTTCATACCACATTTATATCATTTTCTATAGATGCAATGGCTAAAGAATTATTTGTCTCAAGACATGGATGATCCTAAATATGTTTTTATAAACTTTAGTTTTACTAAAGCTTCTCTCGCCAGCGGCTACCTAACCATTATTCTTAATGCCACCCGCAGATTTGGTATGTAATACCTTAACTTATCAGTGTTTTTTGTAATTTAGCAGCTTCTTTTTGAAGCGTTACATCATGAGGTAATAATTATTTGATTATTTCTAGTTCAGTCCATAGATCACATCCATTTATATCGCTATTTTCTTGATACCTTAAATAAGTGGTCAGCAAATTGCGGCTGGCGAGCCGCATGCGGCTCATTAGCGACCTGAGTGCGGCTCGTCCAGTCGGCCACAAATCGGGGTTGACTCCGAAAAACATTGTTCTTGACAGATTCTTGAAAAGAAATTTAACTCCCAAACATTTTTTAATCGCCCTGCTGCTGATTTTTGGCTCTTGGACGAATGAGTTTCCACTGCCTTAACTTATTCTCCAAACCTTGCCATGTTACTCTGTGCTTATCTTTTTCTGGCAGATTTTTAGGTCATTAGAAAAAATGCGTTATTAAAACTTTGCAACTGTTCAAATCTCCCTGATAAAGAATTTATAGCTCTGTCTAGTATTACATTGAAAACGGGATCTGAAAGTAATAAATTCTGGGCCATCTGCATTTGGAAGCTCGTTAGTGCTCTCATATTGAAAGAACCTCCTTGCCCTTCTTCTTTTATTTCTAAAAATGGTCTCTACATCTTATTCTTTAGCTATTTTTGTTGCATTTCCAAATCCTTCGCAAGATAATCAACTAAATAATCGGTGACCCTATTCATTAGTGGAACTGTAGTAGATAGTTCCACAGAGGTGTCCAGCATCGTTGTGCTGACATTTACCCTGTCTAAGATATCATACCAGACATAATTTATCATCACTAGAAATCCACACTCTTCTATTTGTGATACAAGTGTTTATGCTTCATGTCACACCGCAAGATCAGACGCAGACATTTAAAAAAAAAAAAAGTTCATCAAAGAGCTTCTCGAATTCTCGAAATTTCATTATATAATGGCTTTGAATAATTCAATTATGCACTCCCATCTAGTCTCACATAAAAGTTTTACATTGAGCCAGTTAAGTTTTTTTTTTTTAAATACATGTTATCGTCCAGGAGAGGCAGAAAAGAAAACATACATATGCTGGGAAAAGAAGTAGATTCCAGACAACTTGTAGCACTTCCACCAAGCAAGACTGTTCGCAGATGAAACCGCGGTGTATAGGACAATCGCGAACAGATCTGATCAGGACCAGCTACAACAGTATCTCAATCGGTTAGCTGAGTGGGAGATGAGCTGGGACATGAAATTTCATCCTGCCAAGTGCCAGACACTGTCAGTCTCCAGAAGTTTTACTCCTCTACACTACCAATGCGAACTGCATGGCCATAAACTTGAGCCAGTTGCCTCCGTAAAGTACCTGGGTGTTACCATTCAAAGAGAGGTCCGCTGGGACGAGCATATTAACAATGTGTGCAACAAGGCAAACAAGACCATGTGGTTCTTAAGGCGTAATCTAACTGGCTCAAGCTTTCAAAAGGAACAGTTGAGACGACAACACTAGACACATTTGCGTCTATTGCCTCAAGCCTTCAAACCCCCAGTGCATGATACCCTCACAAAGTAGCCCTTTGCAACCAGTGGAATATCTTCATCAACACCAGGCACAGAAACATTGCAAATCCCCTCTACATGCATAGGAGCCAAAATGATCGTGGGCCCATAATATATAGAAGAACCACTAAGTTTAGGCTATGCATTTCAGATTTCATATACAAGGTCCTTGGATTTTCCTTCATAATGCATGCCTACTCTCTTTTATTTTTTTACCTTCTTTTTGGAACCATTGTCGTAGCCCTGGCCTCAGCAGTTGTTTGAGTCTAGTTTTCTCTCTTTCAAGAAATCAATGGAGATTTCATATAATACCTGATTCGTAGTTTCTATAACAATCTTATAGCTTAGAAAATATTCTTTAATTGCTTTGTCTTCTATATCTAAAATTCTGATATTCAATGAAGGCTGCTCCACATGACTAATCTCTGGTGTGCAGTCTAAAATTAAAAAGCTGAAATATTTGGTTGATTTAGCTCCGTTAATATTTTAATAATAATAATAAAAACTTTTTGAAAATCACGAGATATCCCCAAAGGCTTGATGCGCGGTACAAAATCATCCATTTTAAAAGAGAAATGAAAAAAAAAATCAATATTTTACCACATTGAAATACAAAACGCAACATTACAAAAACTACATACGAGCAAACCCATTCTAAGTCTTTCACCTCTTGCAACCATAAACAACACAAGCCAATATACATCTAGGAGATAACAGCTAGGTGAAAAAGATAGTAGACAACATCACCACAGCAGGTGTTTGCGAAATAGATGTGTTTTCAAATCGTTTTTGAAGGACTCCAGTGTCTGGCTGTTTCTGAGAGTGACAGGAAGGGTGGTCCAAATTATTGGGCCGGCAAATGCGAAAGTTCGCCTTCCGTAAGTCTCAAGGCGAACACGAGGTATCGAGAGTTTGCCACTATCGGATGAGCGGAGTTGTCTAGTGGGTACATAAGGCGTCATGAGCGCTTTGAGATAGGACGGCGCCAGACAATGCAAGCAGCGGTAGCACAGAGTTTCAATTTTGTACTCTATGCGACCGCGGACCGGCAGCCAATGCAGCTCTCTCAGAAGTGTTTTAGCATGGTCAAATTTGCGTTTGCGAATAACAATGCGCCCGCATTATTCTGTGCTTTTTAAATTTTTATCCAGCAGCGTAGCTGGAAGACCCACCATGAGAGCATTGCAGTAGTCCATGCGTGATAGCACGAATGCAAACATCAACCTCTTTGATGCATCAAACGTTAAGAAAGGTCTGATATGACTTATTCTACGCATTTTCCATAGTTAGTGTTATGTCTAAGTAGACACCCAGGTTTCGCACTGTTTGAGCGAACTCAATCTGCATACCTGAGAGAGTAAGGAATGGTGTGTTATTTAAAGATTTTAGCTTTTGAGCGGTAGCAATGTGGATCAGCTCAGTCTTTTCATCGTTCAATTTGAGCTTGTTTATGGTCATCATGTGCTTAACTGTCTTCTGTGTCATACTAAGAAGCTGAGGGAACTGAGAGGGGATCACGGACTGCTGTGATATAGCATGTCAAACTGCTTGATCACTGCACCCAGGGGCTGAACGTACATAGTGAAAAGCACCGGGCCTAGGACCGAGCCCCGGGGTACTCCGAATTCGATAATAGATTGCTTCGAGGTCAAGCCGTGTGCGATGACTGATTGGACCCGATTTATACAAGCGGGAACCATCTCAGTACGGTATCGGTGAAACCGAACTTTTTTGTGTGTGCAGACAATGGAGAAGTATGGCGTGTTCAAGCGTATCGAACGCTGACGATAGATCAAGTAACGACAAAAGCCCTTACCTGGCCCTTACCACAAGAGGTCAGAAGGTCATTTACGAAGTGCAACAGGGCTGTCTCAGTAGAGTGATGTGCCCTGTATGCTGACT